TTCACCACACACACACACACACACACACACACACACCCACACACGTGCACGCCACGGAGGCACAGCTTTTCACTTCATGAGTTCACCACGGCGCCCACAGCAGCTTCTCTGGAAGACTGTTCCATGCTCTTTCAGTGATCATTTCAGTGGGACGTGAGCTTGTGTTACTCAGGCTGATAAGACCCAAAGCCAAAGGAGGAGAAATGCCAGGCCACTGTGACAGGTGGGGCTGAGTAAACACCTCTCAGATCTGGACGGGTCCTTCTGACATCTTCCAGCACTCTGCCAAGGATGCAGCCTACCGCACCATGTCAAGCAAGTGATCTGACTGCTTCACTTTTCATACTCTTTCAAGTTCATTTTAGTGTGTTTTTGTCCCTGCCCCTGAGCCTGCTAGCCTTCTCAAAGCCCTGCTCTGATCTATCTCTGCTGGGAAACAGTCACTACCTTTTCTCAGCCTGGTCTCATGCTGTTTGCAGGTATTGCTCATACAGTTTGGAATAGGATTTCCTTGGTGCTGTCCTTACTCTCCAGAGAACTCTGGTGGCTTTTAAGAAATTGTAAATTTGGCCAGGCATGATAGGACATGCTTGTAATCCCAGCCCTCAAGCTGAGACAGGAGGATCACTGAGTTCAACGTCAGCCTGGACTACATAGTGAGACCGTTTCAAAAAACAAAACGAAAAATAAAAAAAGAAAAGAAATCTTTTAGTTGAACTGATTCACGAATGGGTTCTAACACTACTCTTCCTCATTTCCACTAGAATTTTCCTTTGGACAGTGGTCCAAGAGGCAGTCAGCTCTCCGGGCCGAGCGAGATCCCGAGTTTGCCCCACCTTCAGCTTACTTCATGGGACAGAAAAGAATGGGGCCTTCAAGCAGCCAGCCATGGAGCAGACCCGGAGTGGCCCCGAGCAGCCCTGGGCAGCAGGCGGACCAGGGCCAGGAGCCCCACCCTGCTCGTGTGCCACCTGCTCCTGGGCCTGGAGGCCCCCCACAGGCCCCCACAGTCACTTTTGCAACTCTGGATGACATGATCTCATACTATAAACAAGTGACATGACCCTTTCGGTACTCTGACTTGGGCTGAGCCGGGCCTTCATCCTCCCACTCCTGCTCAGAGCCACAGTGGGTCCTTGGCCCCTTACCACCATCTCCTTGCTGGTGTGGAGCAGCCTCCCTGCTCCCCTCCAGGCCCCATTTCCCTCGTGTGGACTTGACCGTGAGTGCTTGGAGGCAGACATTGTCTGTGCTATAAAACTGGATGCTGAAGCGCCTATGGACCTGTCTGTGACACCTTATGCCCTGGCTTGGGGCTGAGGGTTCCATTCCACACCTTTGCCCACATGGGCGGGTGGAGGCTTCACTCCCAAGCTCAGATCTCAGCCAGGTAAAGGAGCACGGGCCAGGAAGGCCCAGTAGGGAGGCAGAAGAGGCCCAGGGCTTGGGCCCCAGGGCTGGAGGCATGGGACACAGTGCCATCAGACACTGAGGCCAGGTGGAGCAACACCTCTGTAACCCAGGAAGGTAGCAGGGAGACACTAGCTTCCATTGTCACACTGTCCTGTCCTCCATGCCCCTGTATATACTATGGCCATCTGATACATGTATGTTGATGATTTGGGTGTCTTGTGGCTGCTGGGCCTGTCAGAGATGATGTCCCTAGTTGTCACAGTCAGAGCTTTTAGCTCCTGTACTGCCACCCAGTGCCCCTCCCCACCAGGCCTGGCTTCTGGGTCAGACTAGGGCCTGTGGGGAGAGGCAGGCTGGCCCTTGTCCTCACTGACCAGGGTGTTGTGTGGGCGGGGCTCCAGGAGCACGGCCCTGCACCCAGGTCCCATCACAGCTGTAGACAAGTAGCTGGGGGTTGGTCACCAGGCCCTGGGACTCCCACAGCTGGCTCCAGGCTGGTAGCTCAAGAAGAACTCTGATAAGATTATTTTTAGTATTAGAAGTTGAACCTAGCACCTTCACACTGTATCCCTAACCTTTATTTAATTTTTGATACCTGGGTCTCTGAGTCACTAAGTTTGCCCAGGCCAGCCTAGAATTTGAATCCTGCATCAGCCACCCAGTGTCCTATGTATAAGTGTGTGCCACTGTGCCCATTCAGCACAGGTTTCCAAAGTGCCCTGAGGCATGGGAGGGAGAGGAGTGAGGGAATAGTGCTCCCTCAATGACCTCTTCCCCAGCCCCTGAGTACGGTTGGCCATCCTGGTGTGGCAGGGTCCGGACTGGTGCTTTCTCCATTGCTCATGGCTCTAGTCTTGCCCAGCATCCAGCAGGTTTAGGCAAAGATCCGAATTCCTAGAAACTTGTCTCTGAGCCCCAGAGCAAGGGCAAAGTGCCAGACCTGTTTGTTCGGTTACGGGCCTCATCAGGCTAATAACTAAATACACACTAAAGCCTAGCTGCCTTGTTTGTACAGATGAGCTAACCCTAAAACTCATCTGGGTGCTCAAGGGGCCCAGAGTTGCCACATGAGCCATGGTAGGAACAAAGGTGGGACTCGGTTAATGGTTTCAAGACATCCCACAAAGCCGCTGTTGTCCAAGGCACATGGAGCTGGTGCAGTGGGAAGGAATAGAGGAACCCATGTGCCTGGCTGGGCAGCTGTTGCCAAGGACACTGACCCCATGGGGGGAGAGCAGTGTCTCCTGGGCATGAGAGGGCATTCTGGGCTCTGCTTGTACAGAATCTGTACCCACTGTACCAAGAGCTCGATGTAAGGGTGAGGCAACAAAACCAACTGAAACAGCTCCTAGGATAAGGGAGAGACAGTAAAAGTGGAATACTAAGCCTGGCGTGGTGGCACACTCCTGTAATCCCAGCACTCGGGAGGCTGAGGCAGGAGGATCACTGTGAGTTCGAGACCAGCCTGGGCTACATAGTGAGTTCCAGGTCAATCTCAGCTACATAGTGAGACCCTGTCTTCAAAAAAAAAAACACTAAAATACAATCACTAGACTTCTAGAATCATAAAAGGAAAGAGGAAGAGGCAAATGAATAGATGATGTGGGAAGGATGGGAAGAGGATGTATTTGTAAGGAGAGTGCCCGGAGAACGGGCAGATGGAGTAAGGAAGGGGTGAAGGAGCCAGGCAGCTGGGAGCCTTCCCTGGGAGCAGTGAGGGTGGCCACAGCGGCCTTTTCGTTGCCAAGCTCCTAGCCAGTGGGGCAGCCTTGCACAGACTGAGTCGAGTGTTCTCTGGGTGTTGGGAGGTGTTTCTAGATCCCCCTTACAGTGTAAATTTAGTTCTGTGCTTTGTGAGCCCGGCTTTCAAGGGTTCACACCCTCAGGTTCATGCTCCTGTTCCTCCCAGCCTGTTTGGTGTCAAAGTGTGCCCAGCGGGTGGCACTAGAGTTCTTGGATTGAGATATGGGCTCTGACATCTCTGTCAACAGAAACCGCTAGGAGGCCTCCAGGGTCATTTTCTGTTTTCTAGGAAACCTGTTAAAAAGGTAAAATTAATTTTATGGTACATTGTGTTCAACCCACTATATCCAAACTAGCATTTCAACGTGCAGTGTAAATTATTATTGAGATAATTTATATTTCTTTAAAGCACTCTACCCCAACCTAGCTCACTGGGGGCTAACTTCCCTAGGAATATTTTATCTAGATTTAGGTGTCATATATATACAGTGGAGTGGATGTACAGCATATTCAGTTGTTCCAGTCCTACCTAAACATCCAACTTTCCAATAGTTGAATCCGGTATCAGGTGTTACTTCTGTTGATTCACTTGGCCACAGTTCCCTCCCATTTGAGTATTTTAACCTTGTAAATATAGTTGAAGAATTTACAGTTCATAGGAAGTGCTTATTTTATTTTATTTGCTACCAGGGATCGAACTGGGGTTCTTGAGCTTGCAAGGCAGCCGGCGGTACCACTGAGCTACATCCCTGGCCCACACAGGAAGTGTTTTAAATATATTAAACAAAAATACCAACTTAAATTGGAAGCCAAAAGTATATCAATTTTTTTTTTTTTTTTTGTACCGGGGATCAGACTTGGGACCTTGTGCTTGCGAGGCAGGCAGCGGAACCACTGAGCTAAATCCCCTGACCCTAGCTAAGATTTGTGACCAAAAGTATCAATTTTTTTTTTTTTTTTGTACCGGGGATCAGACTTGGGACCTTGTGCTTGCGAGGCAGGCAGCGGAACCACTGAGCTAAATCCCCTGACCCTAGCTAAGATTTGTGACCTGAGTTCTTTCTTTCCCAGGGGAATTTCTCTCAAGGGAAAAAGGGATTTAGCCCTCTAATTTTAGGGGGAAATGGATGATTCTGAAAATCTGGCCACTTTTTACATTTTTTTTTTTTTCACCAAGCAAAAAGCCGGTCTCTCCTTGTGCAGTTGTGGCCACGTGCCAGGGGCTGGGTCCCCTCAGATGGCACCAGCTCCTATTGAGGCAGAGCCGCTGGCCAGTTGCTGGGGCAGGGACTCCAGAGGTCCCATGTGGAGGAGGGGACCAGAGATGAATCCTTTTGTTTCTTAGGAAGTCTCCTGTGTTTTTAGGGAGAAGAGAACCATTGATCCTTGTTGCTAACACAGGAAGTAACCTATCTCCCCCAAGACCCTGGTTTTTACTATTAAGAAATTTAATCAATAATTGATATACACAGTCCTCATCTGATCCGAACTTTGGTGAGATGGATAGGATGAGGAGGGGGATTTGTGGCCAAATGAAGCATCTGAGCTTGCTTTCTGTTTTTTGTTTTGTTTTTGTCGGAGTTGTTGTCCTAAGTCCTTAACATCAGTCTGAGGGCACTATGGGATATTTTGTTCCCTGACCCCCTTGATTTCCTAATCTGTCCTGCCTGGGAGGCACATTTTTCATTCTGTTTGTCCCAAGTCGGGGGCTCAATCTCCAGTGTATGCAGAGATATCTTGCTGTAGGTTATTTTTTATTTCTCTCAAAATCATCTTGACTTCACCCAAAGTTGCTGGTCTCACTGGAGGCCATCCTGATCTCACCCAAGGTTGACCTGGGACAGGAATAGAATAACCCCAGCACCAAAACAATAGTCATTCCTGACTTTTCTTAACTTGGTTCATGTACAAAGTTGCCTGGTCATTGTTGCCTCCCTTTGGTCCCTCATTGTCAAGAAATCTTTATTGTGTCCTCAGTGCACGGACATGGGTTCTCATCCCAGAGACCACTGCAACTAGGCTATGGTATGTATCTCTTCTTGGTGTCATCAGTAGGCTGGGGTCCTAGGTTGGGCATCAAAAATTGTTGGAAATGAGCCCCCAGACTCAATCTGTTGATCCAGATGATAAAGCACTCAGACATCAGGAAATCTCACCAAGGCTTTCACTTTTGCAAATGTGTACAAGCCTACCCCAGCAATGAGGTAGCAGGTACACAGGAGAAAGGAGGGTTGCCCCTTTGACCCTTAATGCAGGAGGAGCAACCGACCTCTTTCCCATTGGCTGGTTTGGAGGTACACAATCTATCCCAATTGGCTAACTCAGGCGGTGCAAGGGGAATTTGAGGGTTTGCTAAGGAGAAGGGAGAGCAGAGCAGAGTGGGACACAGAGACCAGAAAATCCTTGGCCCGTGATAAGCTATCTTTGGTATGTAGCTGTGTTCCCAGGATTGGAACTTGGTGGGCATTTTCTATAACTCAGTGTGTTCAGGAGGAGCGATCTAGGGTGGGCTGGAGCTCAAGATGGAGTCACTTATGTTTGACAGAAAAGACAACTCACTGTTTCCCATACTTCTAAATTAACTAAGGGTTCAGTTCCTGATCCACCAGGCCTGTCTTAGCAAGCCCCTAGGGATGTCTGAGAGCCTCCCGAAGTAGCTCCAGGCACAGAGAAAACAGTCTAGATCTCAGGGGAACCATGTCCACACCCACTTGAGCCTGTGGCAATGCAGCAAACGCTGACATTAGAAATGGATTTGTGTTATTTGTTTTACCATAATTCCCCCTCCTCCCCCACTTGTGTGTTTTGGTTTGGTTCATTTGAATGGGCTCAATAAATCATTTTGTTTGTTCGCAGCATTCCCAGAGAACAGTCAAATCCAACGCACAGGAGATTGCCTCGGGTTTAGCTGTCCAAGTGCCAGGGACTCGAGATGTTTACTCCCTCTGGAAGTCAGAGCAGGCCCAGCCTGGGGTGGTCTGAAGCTCACCTGTGACCCACAGAGGGGCATGGAATTTAGAATTTGGAATGGTGTGGGCATCGGTCTTCATAGTTAACAGTAGCCATGCGGTTGAAGGCCGCTTCCTCCTGAGGTAGTCATCGAGCTCAGCCACTTCCATGTTACACAGCCGCATCAGGCTCTCCACGGCTCACGGCTACTCCTGAGGTAGTCATCGAGCTCAGCCACTTCCATGTTACACAGCCGCATCAGGCTCTCCACGGCTCAGGTGAGTGGTGAGTAGACTCATGGTCTGCAGCTCCACCGTCACCCACTGCCTCGGCCGGTGTGGGCTGGGGACACCCGCCTTCCTGTCCAAAGTGTATGTTGGGTGGGGGGCTGAGGAACCAGGGACAATGGCTTGGTGAGATGTCCAGGAAAACTGGAAAGTCAAAATGTTCATCTGAAGCAAGACATCTCCATGAAAAGCTGTCACCCAGCCTAGAGCTGGGGACTTGTATGCCATTTGTTTGTACACCCAGTGCTGCACTGCATGTCCACACACAGTAAGCGTGTGCTTGTCTGGTGCTGGGAAAGGCCAGAAACAACATGCATATTCGGCTCCCTGCAAGCCCACGTGCATGTGGCATGTGGCAGGTGAAGCGTTTCCCTGGGGTGTGCTGTGTATTTTGCTTCTGCCTGTTCATCAGGAGTTGTTAATTCCCTGACGCCCCGTGGCTTGGAGTGGAGACCAGAGGATTCTGGAGTGGGCCCTGCACCAGCAGGCCTCAGGTCACAAGTGCTTCTCAGGCCTGTCCTCCTGTCCTTGGGGATGGCTTCTTGTCTCTATCTTCATGTCTCCACTTGTAATGTTGGATCTACGTAGGTTTTCCCAGAACGTGACTGTTGTGTATGTGACGTACACACAGCATTAGATTCTTTCCGATGCATCTCAACATTTCTAAAGCTGATCTACCCGGTAACTGCTGCCTTGTGGTCCACCTGCACCACTGCTCGGCACTTCCTGTGGGCTGCCACCACCCTCCTAGGAATCCAGTGGCTGTGAGCACCTTTAAGTTTGATTCAGCAAACATCAGTCCTCGCATCAGGGCCTCCCCGCCCCCCTGCAGTGTCCCCAGGTTGTTGCTTTCGGGAATGAGGTCACTGGTTAAGGAATGGTCGTCTTCGTTCCTAACAGTCTTGTCAGGCAACTGACCCATCTCCACTAGGGCCCTGAGTGAACCTCCTGGGGGGCCAGCCTGACCGTCCCACTGTCCAGCTCCTTCCGATTCTCTGCTGCTGACCCAAGGTCCCCAAAAGGCACTGGCAGCTTATGGTGCCAGGATACTGCAGGGTCTCCCAGCCTAAGCATAGGGGTGGCCTTCAACAGGGGCACCCTTGGTCCTGTGTGAGGGCAGCTTCTCGTCCTGAAAGTAGTCATCCCATCCTTAAGTCCGCATCTGCCTCCTGTCCCTGTGGATTCCCTGTCATATAGTACTCCTTGTGACATCCCCTTTGTGGCCTTGTCCCATGCTTTTTCATGTATTCTAAACCCATTTTGTTCTCCTGCTATTAAACATCAAGTTTCAGAAGAGCAAGGCCCACGTGAATAAAACAGGAACAATGTGGTGATGATGGTGAAGGAAGAAGTGGTTATTCACCATGGCTGGTTGTTTCTCTGGACCTGCACTTGGTAGCAAGAATAGGGATCTGAATCCAGCGGCTGGCAGATTTTGGGGGATTGACCTCATGTGAAGATGTTCGGAAAATGGTTAGGGTGGATGTTGGGTGTCCCAGTGTCATCAGGATCCTTGGCTCCATGGGGACCCCTTTAATGCATGGCTTCCCTCTTCAAAGTATTTTCATGGTTCAAAATGACTTGCTGGAGCTCAGGCATGGAGGGTGAGAAGCACAGTATGTAAAGAAAAAATGTTCTTCCCATGATGCTGGCCTCCTTGAAAAATACCATAGGGTCCCTACCCAGCAGCTTTCTTCTTGGTGTGACAGCCAGACTCTAATTATGTACTCACCATAGCTCTGTTTTGAAGAGATGTGGTAATACAGTGGTCCCTTGATTCACAAACTCAGTTCTCTTGATTCTAGTCACAAACCGAATTGGACAAGAACCAAATCAAATTTCCCCATAAGGTCAACATTGAACCTAACCACTGAATCGGATTTGCTTCTCATCCAACTCGATGTGCAAACAGAATTGTGGAAAGAATCAAGTTCGTGAACTGATGCCCTACTATAAATAGTTTATTTGTGCCTTTCAGTTAAAATTATTTTTATGTAAATGGTATTTCTCCAAAGAAGATAGAAAATTGCTGATATCCACAACTATAATGTGCTCAACTTTAGTCCTTAGGGCACTGCGAACAAACCAAAATGGAATCTCAGTTCCCACCCACAAGGAGGGCATAAGAATAAAAAAGACATGGTGACCAAGCTGGGTAGGGTGGCACATATAATTCCACCTGTAATCCCAGCCCTGTTGGAGGCTGAGGCAGGAGGGTTGCAAGCTCAAGATCAGTCTGGGTAACTTAGCCACTTAGCAAGGCCCTGTCTCAAAATTCATATATAGGGATATAGCTCAGGGTAAAGGCCCTGGGTTCAAGCTCTAGAGGAAAATAAGCAACGGAAAGACCTGATGACAAGAGTTTGCAGGATCTGGAGGCTGGGACTCCCAAAGTGTCCCCTGTGGAAGTGTGAAGCAGTGCCGTCACTTCGGAAGACAGCCTGGGGGTCTCCAAGCAGCAGAACCCCAGGTTACTTCGTGACCCCCAGATCCCACTTGCAGACATTGTCCTTGGGCAAGAGAACAGGAGCCTCCATTGCTTTGATGACTGGCGTGGGGACAGGTATGTGGCCAGGGCCACCAAGGAGCAGCAGAGGGGACCCACTGGCCCATACCCATACAGCTGCATGGGCGCGCACGCGGCAGCCCTGTGCACAGCACAGCAGGAGGTGTCCCCACCATGGAACGGGATTCAGCCATCAACGGGGCGGTGCTGTGGGGGTCTCAAAAAACATGCCCAAGGAAAGAGCCAGGCACGGAAGGCCACACGTGGTGTGGTTCCGTTTTTCCCAGTGCCCAGAACAGAAAAACCCACTGAGACAGAACCTAGATTCATGGATGCATGGGGGTGGGAGGAACTGGGGAGCAGTTGCCAGTGGATTTCCTTGTGGGGTGATGAAACACCCCATATTGTGACCCATGTGGGTCACACACCTCTGTGGATGTCTTAAAAACCACTGTCCATGTTCTAAAGGGTGACCTGTACAGGATGTGGATTCCAGCTCAGCAAAGTTGTGCTGAAAATCAGCTCTAAGTGTTGCCGAGTCGCTTCTCACAGTCAGTCTCACAAGGAAGAGCCTTGCTGGGGACGAGAGGAGAACTCCTTACCAAAGATTTTCAAGGGCTGTACCAGTGTTGCAGTCTTCTCTTTGAGTCCTGACATAGAAGGAAAGGAAAAGGAAGAGAGAAAAGAAGCACTGCCCTGCACGCCAGGGTCAGATCCCTCAGGCTGGCTGTCCGGATGTCGCCCGTCTGAGTGCCTTTTCTGGCTAGCTGTCTTATTATTTCAAGAATGAACCTATTTTTCCAAATGCACAAAACTTAGGACTGGAGCTGCCATGGTCAGCAGAAGACATGGAAACCACTTTATCTGTAGAACAGAGGCAGATCGGTGGGTTCCTAGAGGCTTCTCTGAGGAGTGAGCAGATATAGGACAGCCGACAGCCCTGTCACCACAGGGGCTGCAGGCTGTGGCTGTGACCCTGTTCCGTAGACACTGCCCTCACGTGCCAGGCGAGCTGCCTAGGAGAAGGACCTGTGGCTGGAGAAGCAGAGAGATGGGGACCGCCAGGTGGAGGAAGGTGGTGAGGTGGTCATCAGGCAGAAGGCAGTGAACGAGATGGCGGGGCTGGCCCAAAGGTGCCTGAAGCCTCTCCTGTAGGTTGACGGCCGTGGTCACAGCAAGCTGGCTAGGTGGGGTTGAAGGCCAGAGATACTGCATCGAGATGCTGGCTGAGGCCATCAGAGAGGGGACAGCGCATGCTCCCTCTGCCCTCAGTCTCCTCATTTTCTCACAGCATCCTGGGGAATCGGGAGGAAGAGCCTGCGACCCGCCCCCTTTTGTCTCTGCAGGCTTTGCCAGTGGACCACAGGCAGCTCTCTGGCCCTCAGCACTCTAACTAGGGAAGAACCTGAGCCGCCCTCCTTCCCCAGCCTCTTGCCACAGGTGCTCAGTTGGGTGGCCATCCCTGGAGCTCCCTTGGGTCGCTCCTCAGCACCCCGCCCTTCCTAGAGTGGCTCACAAGTGTCACTGCCTCTGGGAACCCCAGGGTCAGTAACAGTGACTCTGTTGCCTCCTGGACAGGAAGCCCTGATTCTGCGACCCATCAGGGCCACCCCAGCACGGCCACTCCACCCACCTCCACAGCCTCTCCTTAGGTAAGAACTCTGGCTCTCCTCCCTCACTTGGAGAGGTGTGCTGAGCCTCACAGCTGCGGTCCCTGTCTTCCAAGATGCACAGCGTCACCTAGCGGCACATGTGCTCAGGCAGCATGGGCGATGTCAAGAGTAACCGGGAGCTCTACCACCAGTACCTGGCCATGGCCCCCAAGCTGCTGGCTCACATCTCCAAGCTCCTCGCCTTCTGCCGCCATTCGGGTATCGCCGTGCCCAAGGGCATCAGAAATATCTTCGAGTTCACCTGGGCAGAGCTCATCGCCGACCCCATGGTGCCCACTAAGTCCAACATCCCAGGCTTGGAGGTCAACTTCGGAGCCCCCCTGGTGGTACAGGTGGAGTCCACCCCAGCGCCGGCCCAAAGGAAGCTGCCCCAGCCCCCAACACCCCAGTCCCCGGTGTCCACCATCACCAGGGCAGCCGGGAACTCCGTCATACCTGCGCGCAAGGCGCAAGGGCAGCCGAACTCCGTCATACCTGCGCGCAAGGCGCCAGTGGGGCAGGAGACGCTGCACAGGTTTCAGCGGCAGTCGGTGCACCTGCTGACAGAGCTGCTTGCCTTGAAGATGAGGGTCATGGTGGAGGCCGCATCTGGTAAGGCACCTCCCTGGGGCCCCCACTTCCAGCCAGAGGAATACAGGGAAAGCATCCCCAGCTGGGAGTCGGAACTCTGCAATGCCCCCAAAACTCACCCTTGCTGAGTGCCAGCGCGACATCACAGCAGGCGCTGTTGACGGGCTTCGGCCACAGCCCAGCTAGACTGAGAATAGTGAGAACTGTGTGCAGGAAACACCAGCCGGTCTCACACGAAGACGCTCGGGCTGTGTTATTTCCCCCCAAATCTGCAGATATTCCCAACTCCAAACAAGTCCCAAATCCAAGATACTTCTGGTCACCAGCATGTGGATAAGGGGTGCTGACCTTGGATATATCCGGCCTGCACTGACAAGGAGCAGTGGCTGAGGGTGGACTGAGGAAGTGAAATCCTCCCCTCTACCCCTGCCGCTCCTCCCCATCCTCCTGCTATCCCTGCTGCCCTGAGTCCTCAACAGGAACAGAGAAAGTTTCAAGATACCTGGGTGGACACGTGAGGGCCTCAGAGTGATGATGGCTGTATCCCAAATGGGCTCCCTGTGGGGCCTGCAATGTGGAGAGCTGTGGCAGTGGTTAGAGCCGGGCAGTCAGAGCACAGGGAGTCTGAGAACTGGGGGCCTCTGGCTGAGGGTGTCTGGGGGCAAGGCTGGCACTTCTTGTGCCAGCAATGATCAGGCCCAGTGCCCGGCCTGGGGGTAGAAAGGGAGGTAGTGGGGGCAGCAGAATCCTGGTGCATAGCTCTCAGCAGCAGACCTGCTCTAAGACCCCATGCTGATGCCAGGAGTTGGGCTCCTCTCTCACTTCCCAAGCCCTCGGCAAAGGTCTGGATGTTCCTGGCCCACAGAGAGAAATGTGTTTCCTCTGACCACTCCCTCACAGGTGCTGACCCCATGGACATCACCCGGCGCTTTGTGGAAGCCAGCCAGCTCCTGCACCTCAGTGCCAAGAAGGTGGCCTTCGACTGTCTGATGGGCACTGCAGGGAGGAGTGGCTACTTCGTGGAGGAGACGGGGAAAGGTGGGTACAGACGCCACCCACCGAAGGCCTGAGAGGTGGAGCACGCCATCCAGAGGGTGGGCTTCTGCACAGTGACAGTGAGGGTGCAGCGGCAGGGGTCCCTAGGCGCTCTGGGCAGTCTCTCGAGCTGTGCTCTCAGGTCTGGAGTGAAGGGCCAGTTGTGAAAACTCTGCATCCGCTGTGCCAGCACAAAAATGCCACTGTGCTGTCTAGGTGTGAGGGGTCTCTGCTGACTCCATGTCCTCAGTCACTTGGCCTCGTCCATGGGGAGCGGTGTCTGTCCCTGCACTGCAGTCACCAGCCCAGGAGGACTGTGTAGATGGCCCTCGGTGAGAGTAGCAAATGAGGGCCCAGTAAGACAGCAGGACCAGAGAGGCGAGAAGAGTCAGGCAGCACAGCATGCACACCGTACGCAGAAGTGGGCACGGGTGCAGCGTGGTGCCCTTAACTGAGTTTAGAAGCATGCAGAGTGATGATGCACAAAACACAAGTGCAAAAGTGTGAACAGGGCCCAGAGGAAGTGGTCTCCGTCCAAGGCGGCCAAGGCCCAGCAGGATCTGTAATACCTTCCTCCTTTCTGTTTTCACACCGTACCCATTTGTGTGTGTGTGTGCTGGGGGAACACGCGTCTCCCTCTTAGCAGATGTCAATTGTGCAGCTATAATATGAGCTTTCTCCCCGCACCGTGCATTAGGGCCCCAACTTTAGGCATTTTGGGTCCGCACCTAGGACCAGCATTGCTCCTTGGCCCCACCTGGGCTCCAGCAGCCCTGGTGAACTCTCCACGTCCGTGCATTTGTTCTGGATTCTGCCTGTGTGAGATCACGTGGCATTCCACTTGTGTGCCTGGATTCTTACATTTAGCACAGTGTGCTCCGGGCCCATCTCTGTCTCAGAAAAGACAGGATTTCCTTTTAAAGGGCTGAATAGTATCCCACTTTAGCTACGAACCACACTTTTTTTATCCATCTGCTGATGAACGCCAAGGATAGTTCAAAATCTAGTGTTGTGAATGGAGCTGCAGAGGGGTCGAGGTGTAGACGTCTCCTGAATACTGAATCCATCTCCTTGGATCTACTTCTGTAGTGGGGTTGCTGGACTCTAAATAGTTTCGTTCTCAGACCCTTGAGGACCCTCCACTCAGTTCCCACACATACCCACAACACGCAGTAGGGTTCCCTTTGCCCTACTTCCTGGCCAGCCAGCCCTTGTCCTGTCTCTGGTAAGAGCTGCTCCCCTGACACGAAGTAGTGTCTCACTGTGCTCTGGATCCCTGCTTTCTGATGATTCACAACACTGAACATTTCCCTCATAGACCTGTTGGCTATTTGGACATCTTCTTTTGACAAATAATCCATTCAGGCCCTTGGCCCATTTTTAAAAAATATTTATTTACTTATTTATTTTGTGTAATCCAGGCTGGCCTTGAACTCACTATGTAGCCCAAACTGGCCTTGAACTTGCAACAATCCTCCTGCCTCAGCCTCCTGAGTACTGGGATTACAGGCGTGCGCCACCACACCTGGATGATCATTTATAAAATCAATTTTCCTGGTGACGTTTTCTATCTTAAAATGGGTATAATAAGTGTTTGTTTTTAATGCTTACAAGTACTCACTGTTAGGAGGTCTTATAGGGAAGCATTAAGCCTTATATCTCATAACCATTTGCCCTCACCTATAGCGTCAGCCTCCATTGCCTCTCTCTCTCTCTCTCTCTCTCTCTCCCCACCATCAGTATCTTTGCCAGGCTTTCCTGCATGGGTGGAGGTTGAATGCCCAATAATGAGTGCATCTGGTAGAAAGAAACTGAAAGATGGAACTAGGGACTTAGCAAGGACCTTGTCTCAAAAGTAAAAAGAAGGGGCTGAGGATATTGCTCATTGTGAAGGTGCTAGGTTCAATCCCCACTACCAAAAACAGAGATAGATCATAGATATATGATAGATAGAATAAAACAAAATGTCCAGAAAATAAACCACTTTGCCATATCTAACAGAAGGCCATTTTTCACTTTTGCCCTTTCTTTGCTGGTTCCTGTTCTTACGCGTGCACCCAGAGTTTTACACTCGGCAGTTTCCCTGTTCCTTGGTTTCCTGCACCTGACAGACCACAGCTGCTTCCAGCAGGCTCTGCAGCCTCAAGGCTGCCCCTTTCTCCAGTGGCCTTCCCTGCCTGACTCTCAGCCGGGCTGGCACAGCGTGGCCGCTGAGCTCACACTTTGGTCGTGGGATCGTTTCCCAGGAAGGATCATCGGTCAGAAGGGTGCAGTCTGTGTGTGGCTTTTCTCCCCAAATAATGCTTTCTGCGTGGACTACCTGTACTATCAGAGCGGGTGGGTTCCATCAGAGCTTCACCAGCTCTGACCCTTGTTAGCCTTTTCACTTCCGCTGAATCAGACGGCATTATGTACGAGTTCTTCTGTACAGGTCCTCTTCGCGTTGTATTATCCAGCGTGGAGCTGCTGGTTATGGTTGTCAGCTCTCTGTCACTGTGACAGATACTCAGCTTTAAGGGAAGAGAGACTTTTGGGCTCAGACCACCCCCCATGGCCCTTAATTTTGGGCCTGTGATGGGTCTGGGGAGCAGACAGGGAGCTGGGGGGCAGGATCCAGGCCCTCCAGGCCACACCCCCACGACTGGGCTTCTGCCCTAGGCCTCACGCCCCCTGGAGCATCACAGGCTGGAGGAGGCTTGGGGATGCTTGGGATCCAGTCCAGAGCGTCAGACTTTGTCCACCTGACATTTTTCTCTGTGAACTTGAGTTGTAATGAATGAATGAATTGCTGAATGTTTCCCACCCTAATCAGGAACGGGACCACACTGGAGAGGAAGAGAGGCTGATTCAGTGGAGTTTGTGTAAAGTATTGGGCTTTTCCACTAGCAATGAGGCTGGGAAGTCTGAATTCTGTTTTTGTTTTTTTGTTTTTTTCTGAGACTGAGGATCAAACCTAAGAGCATGCTACCACTGAACTACATCCCCAGCCCCATTTATTTACTTGTCTGTTTATTCAGAGATAAGGTCTTGCTAAATTGCCCGGGCTGGGCTCAGCTACAATTAGCTATCCTCCTGCCTCAGCCTTCTGAGTAGCTGGAATTACACAGGTGTGAGCCACCCTACTCGGCTCCAAACTTGAATCTTCAGTGGTGAGGTATCTCATGGATGGTGCGGTTCTGGGAGAGACTGGTACATTGTTGGAGGAGGTCTGCTTCTGTGGCTGATAAGGAAAATGGACAATCCTTAATTTTTTCCTTGCCGGCCTAGGGTTTGCCTTCTCAGCAGGTGCAGCCCTCAGAGTGCTCTTAGAGTAATGTTGCCCCATGCCTGCTGCTGCTCTCAGCTCAGGTGCCAAGTCATTCTTGAGAGATTGGGGGGCAGGGACATTGATGAGGGGCCCTAAAGATGTCCCCTAGTACCCCAGCAGCCCACACTTAGAAAGTCTCCTGTTCCAGGACTGCCATAGAATGCTGGCCAGCCAAACCATGGAAACAGGAAGCCCATGTTGTTTCGATTTGAAAACCATTAGAAACTTTAAGATGAGAAGAAGTATTGCTGTCTCCCTCCTCAGAGTCCCCCATAGACATCTCGGCCATAGGCGTGAACTCACCTTACCAACTGATCTACCAGTCTTCCACGGCTTGCCTGAGCTTCTCCCTGTCCACAGGGAAGGAAGTCAAGAAGAAACCAGGTGACCAGGTCCCCAGCGGCTCTTCTGGCACATGGTGGGGGGGTGGAGGTTGGGAGGGTCAGAGACCCACCAGGTGCCCAGATTGGGCTCTGTAGTAGGGCTGTACAGCTGCCTAGGGGACACCCAGTGGAGCTCAGCAGAGTCCTGGCCCCCTGCACACTGTTCATCCCAAGGTGCTCCATTCCTTATCCCTCTCTAGCCTCAGCTCTCCCCGTGCACAAGGCTCTGTGCTCAGAGAGGGCTCTGTAGCCACACAGCCGGAAACTGGAATCTGCCCAGTGACTCTGGCCTACTGAGGAGGAAGGGAGGGACAGGCAGTAGGTGAGCAAGGACAGACGACAGGTTCAGCCTCTCTGGGCTGTGACGACCCAGTGAGCCCTGCTGGTGCCCATGACGCAGACAAGGGAGCTGGCAGCATGGTCTTACTCTGCCACCCATGGTTGTGTAACTGCCCTCCTCAGCTGCACTCCTTCCTGGAAAGGAGGTTGGTCATGGGCAGGCAGAAGCAGCCCAGATCTGAGCCCACTTTTGTAGTTGTCCCTGCCACTTCCTGCTGTCCCCTTCCTCTGCCCTGTGAGCCCTGATGTCCCCTTTGCCATCACCAGAAGGAGCAGCCACCCAAGGAGGCCCACCCCAGGGCACAGATGTCCTCCCAGGGCTTTTGCCGAGCTCTTTCCCTCCTTTAGGTGACCCAGATGGGGAACCTGTTTTCCAGAAACTCCCCTAACCTCTCACCTCTGACTGCAGGTAAATCAAAGTTGCTGGAAGACGTGTTCAGCAGGCCGCCTTCCCTGCGAGCGATGGGCACCTCTTCCGACAACGCCACGGAGTTCAGTGACCCCTGCCCTGAGGCCCGAGAGAAGCTGCGGGAGATGTGTCGCCACATGTGAGTTCGGGTGGCAGGGTGGGACAGGTGCTCCTGGGGAGCCCTGTGTGCCCAAAGGATATGGGCCTGGCACCTGGGAGCTCCAGGCCTTTCCCAGATGCAGAGGGAGCACAGGGTAGCTCTAGGCTCTGTGGCAGCTGACCGGCCCAGGCACCTTGGTGTGGTGCCTGTGAGTCATGGCTCTAGACCTGGTAGTCCTTCTTTTTTTTTTAAAGATTTTTTTTTTTTCTTTTTCCACTACTGGGGATTGAACTCAGGACTTTGTGCTTGCCAGACAGGCATTGTACCACTGACCGACATTCCCGACCTTAGCATTCGTTTCTTAACATGATCTGTCAACTGTTCTACCAAAGGAAGAAATGCACCTTTCAGAACAAATAAAGAGCAGTGCCACGGGTGACTCATGGCATTGCCGATTTGTGGGTTCACAAGGCCTCCCCAGTGACGCAGCGTTTCCCCGAAGACCCAGACCACGAAGAGTGTTCAAACCACTTTGCATCTCGTATCCAAGTCTTTTGGCCTCCGGGACACTGGGCAGAGAATGGGGCAGGGGCCACCTTCCCACCCACCTCCAGGTTGGGGACATCCCAGGACCCTCGTCCCCAGAGTCCTGACCCTCTGAGCCCAGCACTGTCGGGATGGGTGCAGCCCAGGAGTGAGGGCCTGGTTCCAGAGGACATACTGGTCTCCTTTCCTGCAGAGAAGCTGAGAAGGCCCTGTGGAAAGGGCGGAACGTCTTCTACCCCATGGTCCTGCGCAACTACAAAGCAAAGCCCCCCTCTCAGCCAGCGTCATCAGCCAGAGGGGACTCACAGGGCTTGAGTACCCATGCAAGTGCCCACACCGCGGGGGCACCGGTACCCACCCCCGGCCCTCTCCAGCTCTCCATCCGGCCGAGCCGGCACTCACAGGACTGGAAGTCCCCCAGGAAGCCCAACAAGCTGCACTACACCTTCTACGATGGCTCCTCCTTCGTATAATATCCTTTCTTAGTGCTGCCTGTGTGCTTCTTGGCCAATAGAGAGGCCTGCGGGGCCTCAGCTGGGGGATGTGCAGCTCGGGTGCAGGAGCAGCTGATGAAGCCCTGAGTTCAGTTCAGGTCAGCAGGAGCACGCCAACCCCAGCCCAGGCGAGGGACTGTCTGCACCACTGCCCTGCCCTCAGGGATGCAGGAGACCAGAGGCTAGAGACCTCTCCTTGTGGCTGCCAGGCTGTGGCCTCTGTGACTCTATCCCCATGGTCCTGGCCCAACTGGTCTACGCTGAGGTCCACTGGGTGCAAGCTATGGGTAAACGAGGGGCAGAAGGGGACACAGCTTCTCTCTGAGAAAGGACACTCCAGCTAGAGGGGGAGCCTGAGCTGCTGCCCTCTCTACTGTAGTCTGAGACAAGGGGTCGCACACCTGAGGAGCATCTGTGGTTCCAGCACAAGGGGCGGCATTGGGGTGTAGGCACTGCAGGCAGATGAGGGGGCTCTGACATGGACCTGCCCACTCCGGGCTGTGATGTTGATGCGGGAATCCTCCCGGCTGTCGTTTCTGGGCCTTCTCTGTGGAAATGGGGATCCAGACCCGCTGGGATGGTGTGACCTCCTGAGTGTCACACAGGAATTTGGTGGCAACATCCCCAATGAAAGCGGGAGACAGAGAAAAGGCAAGTGCAGCCTCATTGGACGTGGGGGTCACCTGCCTGTGGAGGAGAGGGAGGAGGGACTGTCCCAGCCACTTCCACATCAGTCAGGCCCCAGGGCGCATTTGGGTTCCTCTGCCCTAAACAGGGAGCTCAGAATTTAAGCGCCCTGTCAAAGAGGCCTTATTGTTTCTCTGTAAATGAATCCATTCATCACTCCCACCCTTCAGGGCCACAGCAGACCTTAGGTGGGAGCTGTGCTGGCACGGGTGGGGGTGGGGGCTTCCTGCTTCCTCACCCTCCCCACCAGGGCTTGTCTGCCCTGTTAGGAGGAGCTGGGCTGCACCCTGCGCTGTCTCCCATCCTGACTTTCAAGGCCCCCCTGAGCAGGGCTGCCCCAAGTCTTGGGCCATTATTGCCCCAACACTGCTCACATCTGGCACTGGTGCTTTTCCTCTTCAGAGGTTGTAAGAGGCTGGGGCTGGGTTCCATTCTTCTAGGTGACACTGCATCCCTCAGTAGGGCCCAGTGACCACCCAGGGAATTTCTGTGTCACTCTGCACAAATGGCCATATATGTGACCCCCTGTGTGATCCCTCTGCGAATGAAAGTAGGTTTGGAAAACACTTCCCCTGGTGGCGTCTGTGGAGTGCGGGGCCAGCTGTGGACTCTGTTCACACAGAGATGACGGACGGGCGGGCAAGTGCACAGGTGGAAACAGTCCACCCTCCTTGTGGTGTACTGGCCACCCTCAGACCTCGGGGCCATCTGCAGTGGTGAGTGAGGAATTGCACTAGTTTTGACTCATGTTCTCCTACTGATCAGTGATGCCGAGTGCCTTTTGTAGGCTTTTCTTTGTTGATCTTTGCAGAAATGTATATTCAAGACCTGCGCTCATGTTCAGTGGAGTTGTCTGTCCTTTTTTAGGGATCATAAATGTATCAGGTATTGTGGGTACTATGCCCTTATCAGATCTGTGATCCCAAATATTTTCCCATTCTGTGCATTGTCTTTTCACTCTCTTGACAACATTCTTTGATGTATTTGATGTATGAAAGTTCTTTTTAAGTAATTTATTTTTGGTGTTGAGTATAGAACTCTTACTTTTAGGCCTCACATGTATTTTGAGTTAGTTTTACCATTTGTCATTTCAGTCTTTGGATGTGGATGGACATTTGATCCAGTTCTCCATCGCTTTGGTCAAAATAGGTAGACTGCAGACAGAGTCATTTGTCACATTCAGTTGTAATCTGTCCCAGGCCTATCCTCAGGCTGCCCTCCACTTTCTTAATTACTGAAGGCTTGTAGTAAGTTTTTACATCAACAAGTGTGAGCCCTCTCAGCCTGCTGTTCCTTTCCAAAACTATTTCAGTTATTTGGTGTCCCTTGCAATTCCATATGAATTCTGAGGTCCATTTATGCAAATGGCCAGCAAGATCGGGCTTGGAATCCCCCATTCCACAGATCATCTTGGCCGTTAACAGGATTACAGCGTCTGACCCTGAGCACCACCAGCAGCCCATTCTGGGAAACACTGTGTGAGCAACAGGGCAGGGATGAACAGAAGAAAAAGATACCAGGTACAATAGCATCAAGAAGAATAAAATACTGAGAAATGAAGCCAAGGGGGTGACTTGCACACTGAAAACTACAAACTACCATAAGGAAGGGAAGCCTGAAGGGCAAGGCACCCAGGTCTGTGGGCAACCGACTTTTGAGTATTGGCCTTGTGTCCTGCGACTTTGCTACATTCATTAACTCTAGGCTTTTTGGGTGCATTCTTTAGGATTTTCTATATATTAGACCATATCGCCTGCAAGTAGAGATATTTTTACTCCCCCCACCCAGTTTTGGAGGCTTTTCCTCTCTTTCTGTTGCCCAGTCAGGCTGTGGCCAGAATTCCTAGTACAACATTGAACAGAGTGGTAAAATCAGGCCTCCTCACTCATTCTGAATCTGAGAAGAAATTTTTTTCCATTCTCTCACCACTGAATATTGGTTTTGTTTTATATGTGGCCTTTATTATCCCAAAGGGGTTTTTCTTTTTTATCGCAAGAGTGTTGGACTTTGTCAAGTGCCTATTATTATTTGTTTTTTTGTTTGTTTTTTGAGACAGGGTCTCACTATGTAGTTGAGACTGACCCTGAATTCACTATGTAGCCCAGACTGGTCTCAAACTCATGGCAATCCTCCTGCCACAGCCTCCCGAGTGCTGGGATTATAGATGTGTGTCAACACGCCCAGCAAGTGCTTATTATTGATCAATTTAGATGATCATGTGATCCCCTCTATTCTATCTCTAGTTGATGCATTGTGTGAGTGAGTTTGTGGGTGAACCACCTGCATCCCTGGGTAAGCCCTCCTTGGATATGGTGCACGGTCCCTTAATGTACTGTTGAAGGGGCGTGTGTGCATGTGCGCATGCGCACACAAGGGATGCTGGTCTGGAATTCTGTCGTGTCTGTGCTGCACCTGCCATCAGAAATACACTGGCCTCATAGACTGGGTAAGGAAGTTTTCAGGCCTGCTCCTCCAAGTTAGAAGCCAGTGAGAGGGATTGGAGTTAATTCTTCTTTACGTGCTTGGTACAGCTAGCTGGTCACACACTCATTTTTGTTAGGTTTTTGTTTGTCCTGCTCATCTCTCTTTATTTGCTGTTAAGTCTACTCAGATTTTTCTATTCCTTTCAAGTCATGTTTGGTAGTTTTTGTTTCTAGGAATTTCTTTCCTCAAGTCATCTAACATTTTAGTGTAGAATTATGCATATTTTTCCCTATGATCGTCTGTTTCTGTGAGGTTGGTAGCATGGTCCCACTGTTGTTTCTTATCTTAGGAATCTGAGTCCTCCTTTTCTTGTTCAGTGTTGTGAGTTTTATTGATTCTGCCTAAGAATCAACTTTGGCTTTGTTCTATTTCTCTCATTATTTTGTCTTTCTCCCTTCTTGTCACTATTTCCTTCCTCCCAGTTTTGCTTTAGTTTAATTCTTCTTTTCTAGGTCCTTCAAGTATATTGTTGGGTTATTGACTTGGGACCTTTGTTCTCTGTTAACGTGGCTATTTCTAGATGTACACTCTAAGGATTGCCACCCTCTCCCATAAGTTTTGGTCTGTTCTGCTTTTGTTTTCATTCATCTGAAAGTATTTTTTAATTTCCCTTGTGACTTCTTCATCCATTGGTTGTATAAGAATGTGCTGTTTCATTTCTAAAACTTGTGAATTTTCCAAATCTCCTTCCTTTTACTTTCATTCTACTGTGATCAGAAAATGATACTTTCTATGGTTTCACTCTTTAAAAAATGTATTGAGGTTTTGTGGCCTACTCTGTTGTCTGCATCAGTTGAGTAGTATCTCCCCCAACCCATATCTGTTTGGAAGTGCAGTCTCTGTAGATAGGATTATTAAGATGCAGTTTTGTGGAACTATACTGGCTCTGCTGCAGTGACCAGTGGACCCGCAAGAAGAGGAAAAACAGACAACATAGAGGTAAGAGGCTATGTGGTGACTGAGGCAGAGACTGGATGATGACCTGTAAGCTAGAGAATGCAAAGGGTCCTTGGTAGCCACTAGAAACCAGAAAGAGTGAGGAAGGATTTTTCCCAGGAGCCTCCACTCCCATAGCCCTGTTGCCACCTTGATTGCAGAATTTTAGCCTCCTCAACTCTGAGGGAGTAAATGCCTGATGCTTTTTGAGCCACCAGGTCTGTGTTGGTTTTTTATGGTAGCTCCAGGAATCCAGCACACCTGGGTATTACAATTGATGAACTAATTTGAGTGGGGTTTTTTGTTTTGGTTTTTTTTTAGTTTTAATTAATTGATAAACTACTTTGAATTAATAACAGTTTAGCCTCAATTGTATATAAAGCTCTGCTCAAGAACTATTTGTCCCCCTTTAATTCTGCTTTATCAGAAATTACATCTTCAAGGGCCAGAGATTAGCTCAGAAGTTCTGCCTCCTGCCTCAAAAGCACAAGGTCCTGAGTTTGATCCCTGGTACCAAAAAAAAAAAAAAAAAAAAAAAACATCTTCAAATATACATTAATTGCCTATAAGTATGGATTTATAATTGCTGTTTTATGCATCTGTTATCCAAATCATGTAGGAAAAAGCCAAATTATAAACCAAAAATACAAGAGTGCTAGATTTTATATTTATTTATCAAGTTATGTTTGACAGTACTTTTCTTTTGGATAGCTTTAGACTACTATTTTTTGGTCCTCCCATTCCAGCCTGAAAAATTCCTGTTAGCATTCCCAAAGTCTGCTAGGGATGAACTAAACTTCCTCTGCTGCTTTTTACCTGGAATGTGTTAATTTCTTCATTTCTGAAGGCTATTTTAAAATTGGAATAGACTTTGTGGTTTACAGTTTGTGTTTTTTCTTTGAGCTCTTTGAATGTTTTTTCTTGCTGCTTCCTAGCTCCCATAATTTCTGATGAGAAATTAGCCCTTAACTCACCAGGGCTCACCTGAACCTCATCTCTTCCCTCTTGCTTTTTCCAGGGTTGTTTTTGACAGTTGATACAATGTGTCTCTTATCCTACTTGGATTTGCTGAGCTTCTTGAACATGTAGATTTATGTCTTTCACCGAATTTGGGGAGTTCTGTTTCTCTGTCTCTTCCTTCTGGAACTCACAATATACATATGTTAGTATGGTTCATGGTGGTCCCTGAGTCTCTATTCTTTGTTTGTTTGTTTTATTTGTTTGTGGGTTTTTGTTTTTTTTTTTTTGAAACCAGGGTTTTCACCCTCAGTACTCCCTAGCATACTTTTTTTTTTTTTAAACACAGATTCTCCCTAAATTGTTAAACTCCCTAGGTTCATTTGAATTTGTGAGCCTCCTGCCTTAGCCTCCCAGAGTGTTGGGATTATAGGATTTTTTCACTCTTTATTCTTTCTGCTCCATACTCTGCATTATTTCAACTGATAATATCTTTCTACCAGTGTTTTTCTCCTGTTGATCTAATCTGATTCTGATGTTTAGTGAAGTTTTTCTTTTAGTTATTGTATTATTCAGCTCAAGAATTTTTACCAGACCACTTATTAAAATTTCTGTATGTTAATTCTTTTTTTTTTTCAGCTTGTAAGAAAGATTTAGGAGGGCACAATCCAGTACCAATCATTAAAATTCTTCTATCTGGGGTACTTCTTGTGAGATTCCTGCATACAGGACAGAGCTGCCAACACCATGTCCTGCTCAGTTGGGATCATGACTTTCTTGTCCTGTATTAGCTTTTTCCTTACTGAGCCACCCACAATTTAAAGGAGGACGTGCTTAATTTGGCTCACAGTCTCAGAAGATTCGGCCCATGGTTGGCTGCTCCAAGGCAGAAACATCATGGCAGAAGGACACGGAGGAGCAAAGATGTTTAGTTCTTCGCAGTCAGGAAGTAGAGCAGGGGAAAAGCATCAGAGAGGAAGGGGCAAGGGACAATATATTGACCCCAAGGTCACACCTCCATGACCCACACGGACACCCAGAAGTATGTTCCATCAATCCCTCGAGTAGATCCCCAACCCAATTTTATACCCCACTGTCATGTCAGCTGTCATGGGGCCCCTTAACTAGAGAAGGGACAGAAAGACATTGCTCACTCACTCTCCTCTTTGGCCAGAAGGGGAAGCAGCCTGGCAGCAGTAGAAATATTGCTGGGCCCAGAGCTCAGATCCTGTTTTGCTCCTTCTTTGTGATGAACAGGTCATTTTTTTTACCCCAAATTCCTTGTGAGTAGGGTGATAACTCATCTTAGTTTTCCTGGGACTTTCCTGGTTTTAGCACCAGAAGTCCTTTGTATCCAAAACCCACCAGACTCAGGGAAACCCTGCTCATCTATGATAGGGAGATAATACTACCTGCCACAGCTGTGTGCCAAACAAAGAAGACTCAGGAGAACACCTGGTGGTAATTGGTTTCTATAGTGATTGAATCATTGCATATGCAAAGTGTGGACAGCATCTTTGAAGATAGGGAGTGATGCACCAGGCAGCTGACACTCTGACATCTAGCTTGCTTCTGTGGGCACCATGGAGCAAACCCAGAGAAATTCTGTTAGCTCTACTTGACCATTGCTGCCAGCTATCCCTCTGGAAACATTGCCGTGTGTCAGATCCCCACATGCTGCAGAGGGAGAGCCATCACTTGCCTGTTTAACGACACACCTGACTACTCCTTCCTGGCCCTATTCAATGCTGAAGGCCAGGGCTGTGTTCACTACAACCTAAAGACATAGTAAGTGGGTTGGGAGACATCTACCCCCATTCAACTCCTTTAGGATAGTGAGGGGACTGGGGTGGTGACAGAATCCCTGGTTAAAGGAGGGTCCAGGATGTGCCCAGAGGTCTAGGGAGGCAGGCAGTGAGGCAGGGGCAAAGCAGTGCCTGCGGGAGTGTAGACACATAGAGGCTAGCCCTTGCCTGTTGGGTCTGTGTCATAGCAGTGAGGAGGGCTGCTCTCAGGTCTTCCTCACCATGGCACCCCAGGTGCTAACATCGTAACTGCTGGTCAGTTCATGGGAGAACATTTTTATGTTTACAGAGCTGTTTGCAGGGTCTCATGTGTGCTAGGCACAGTCTACCACTGAGCCACCTTCCCTGGCCCCACAGAAGGATCCATTAGTGAAGAACAGTATCTGGAATCAGGAGTGGGTGGCAGAGAGATGTGGCCACCACTTCTGAAGACTCTTAAGAAAGCACTTGTTCTTGCCAGCTCAAGGTTGATTTTTTTCTGGCTTCTGGTCAGGAACTGTTCTTGGAAAGGATGGCTTATTCTCATGTTATAGATTTCCTAGTTCCCATTTGTATGCCTGATTTCTCGTGTGCTAAGGCTCCTGGGTAACAGAACATAAATTTCCTTTCTTCCCCTCCTAAGTTTGGCCTGATGCTGTCCTTACCTTCAGATTGACCCCTCTCCACAGACCATGTAGTCTCAACAGATGCCAAGAGGCCATAGGTCATCTTAGGCAGGGGAAGCAGGCTGTCATGGGTCTCCAAGCTCTAGCCTGGAGCAGATGCTCCCAGCCTGCATGGATATGGGCTTCCTTTAGGGCCTGGCAGCAGCTCTCCCCACTGTGTCTCCCAGCTGCCCCTACGTCTTGGTCTTGGATGAGGAAGGCGGGACCACCAATGACCACAAGGGCTATGTGGTCCACAAGTGGAGCTGGACATCGAAGACGGAGACTTTACTCTCCCTGGAGTACAAGGTATGGTGGGCAGTGTGGGAAGACAGCACCTCCCACACACTGCTCAGCACCACCTGGCCAGGGGCTGCCTGAAAGCTAAGGATCCTGGATACATTTTCGGGCCCAATTGGTGGGCAGTGCCCAGGGTGGGCTAAGGTGCACTTTCTACCACATTCAGCAACTAGTGGCTACTGTGTTGACTTGTTGTGGCAATGTCATTCCTATTTAATTTTTATTATTAATATTGTTATATTTTTATTGCATAAATGCCCTTTTTTGTGAAGTAACAGTTACAATAGTTGATAACTATATTTTTTTTCATTTGGTACTGGGGATCGAACTCAGGACCTTGTGCTTGTGAGGCAGGTGGCGGAACCACTGAGCTAAATCTCTGACCTAGTAGCTGTGTTTTATTGATTTGGTTGGGGATCGAACTCAGGACCTTGTGCTTGTGAGGCAGGTGGCGGAACCACTGAGCTAAATCTCTGACCTAGTAGCTGTGTTTTTAATGCTGATAAGTGTCAATAATAAGAAGTAGCAATTCTATGTTGGTTTCCGTAGTTCCTGTTTTCATAATTTTATTATTTATGAAATAAAACTGGAAGTTGAGTTGGCTGAGAGACAAACTTTTTTCATCCATTTGGTTGTTCACATAGCCATTCACCAAAGATTTATTAAACAATAATGCTGATTTTTTAATATTAAGTTTATTAGTGGAGCTACTGAGTGTGCATGCCACTCTATTAGGGCAGAGCTTCCCATCACTGGCACTACTGGCATCGTTGGATGAATACTAACTCCATTAGAACCTCATTGACGGATGTTTAGCAGGGCCCAGATAGGTGCCTGCCAGTGGTACACACCTTTTCCCAGCATTGACAACCAAACCCACCTCCATACAGTGCCAAATTCAGCTGCTGAGGGGCAGAATTTTTACATAGTGGGTAGAAAGATAAACAAGACCCCACAAGGAACTAAGGGTCCAAAGAAGTAATGAAGCACAGGGCAGGCAGGGATGGGAGCTGGGATAGAGGGGCACATTTATTGGACTGGGATTCAGAGAAAGATCACAGAACACAGAACCACCCAGGATGGCCTGAGCCCCCAAAGGGAGGGCTATGGACAAAAGCACTCAGGGTGCTGCTGTTGGCAGCGTTGCTGTTGTCTCTTCCCTTGGTGTATCCTCTTCACTGGCCCCTAGGGTCTCATCCTTAGAATGTGGTCTAAGACCACATTCCTCCAGATTTCCTTACTCAGATTTCCCTCCTCCATGATGCCCAGCCCGACTGGCTCTCTCTTCTCCAGTGCCCACAACCTGGGTGGTGATTAGCAGTCAGCTCCGTGATGAAATGGTCTTGGCTGCTTGCACATCTGAATTACCTCTGGAACTTTGAACAAAATAAAGAGCCCAGGCACAGTCCCCAAGGGACCCCGACTCAGTTGGTGTGTCAAGAGCTTTGGATTTCTGCTGTTTCCCCAAGTATTTCCAATGCTGGCTAGGTTTGTCTCAAGATCTCCATCAGCTAATGGCAGGCACTGTATGTCGTGTGTGTGTGTGTGTGTGTGTGTGTGTGTGTGTGTATGTGTGTGTCCAGTAGACAGAGAACTGGGGTGATAGTGTGCAGAGTGGAGTTCTTGTGCTGATGTTGCCAAACCTTGGTGGTCTCACCAGCTTTTTATCTGGTGGGGGTGGTGGGGTTACCAGCCCTGCCCTTCTGCCTCATGCCGCTTTTGTGAGAACTGAATGAGATAATGCAGACAAAACAATCTGACATCACTAAGGGAAGTCAGCAGAGTGTGTGTTGTTGTTACGTTCCCTGGAACTGATGTTAGTGCAGTCTGTCAGAGAAGATGACCCTGGAGTTGTAATATTGGGGTGAAGGAGAAGGGAGACTTAGAGGTAGCACAGGCAGCACCTATAAAAGGTTGGCTCTGGACAGACTAAGCCATCTTCAAGTTCACAAATGCTTCTTGTGAGGGGAAGGCAGGGAAAAGGGTGTGGGATATAGGGTGGGGTAAGAAGCATTGGGTGTCAAGTGGGGCATTTTCATGCTGTCTTGGACCGATTTGTTTTTATCCAGGCATTGAATGCTCCTGGTGTTTGTCATCCCCCTGAAAACCCAAGTTCCCCTCTGGTACCACTTCTGTCCAGCCAGAAAAACTTCCTGTGATGTATCTTGAAGTACAGATCAGCTGTAACACCTCTATTTCCCTTTTGTGAAAATCTCTTAATTAAGCTAATTTTTTATAAACATGGAGTTTTGGGTTGGCTTTTATTTCTTACAGTATTTTAAAGACATCATTCCATTGTGCCTGTCCTTCATAGTTTACTATGAGAAGTCTGTCATTATTCAAATCACAGCTCATTTTCTCTAGCAGCTTTTAAGATGTTCTCTTTTCTTGGGTTCTCTAAGTTTGATGAAATATCTAGGAGTGATTTTCTTCATGTTTCTTCTATTGAGGGTTTACTGACCTTTTTTTTCTTTTGGTACCTTGGATCAAACTTGGGACCTTGTGCTTGTGAGGTAGGCAGCAGCACCACTGAGCTAAATCCCTGGCCCTACTGAGCTTCTTAAATCAGTAAATTTATATGCATTAATATCCCCAAATTTAGGAAATCTAAAGCTTCTTTAGATAAAAACTGTGTTTCCCCCGCCTCTTTCTTTCTGAGACTCTAATCACATGTATTTGAGACCTTTTGATATTGTTCCAAAGGTTCTTTAAGCTCTGTTTTATAATTTCTCTTGACCTGCCTGTCTCCAACTTCACTGGCTTCTTTCTGTCATCTCTATTCCACTATTAGGTAATTCTTGTGAAATTTTAAAATATCAGTTATCAGTTCTAGAATTTCCATTTAGTTATTTTTAGCTTCTGTGTCTCTATTGAGGATTCACCATTTTGTGATTCCATACAAGTATATTTTCCTTTACCTCTTTGAATAAAGTTAAATTAGCTGCTTCAGAGTCCTTGTCTGAAAACAGTGATGCTGCGGTCACATCAGGCAGGGTTGGTCTCCATTGCCTTGAGTATATGTGCTGGCAAAGCGAGCACTCTGTTGCCTGGAGAATCAGTTGCTATTCCCTAGCTTTGTATCAGCTGAATAATTTGGGGACTGTAGGCAGACGCTGTGACTATTATGCTGTAGTACCCCTGAATTCCGACGTACTTCTCTGAAGGTCTCCCTGTTCTTGTTGTAACAGGCAAAGAACTTGGTTAGACTTAATCACACAGCTCATCAGCAGCGGGCAGCAGTTTGGGCAGTTTCTTTACTGTCTGCTCAGTTTATGTGTGGCCCAGGTATCACCCAGGATGTGGGTGGCTCACACACCCTTGGGGCCTTCCTGGCTGTCCCTTTGGGATTCTCTCCCTATGCTCCTGTGCCCCTGGCTACCCCAGGCCATGCCTGTAGGCTCTCTAGCCAAGAAGGTAGTAGATTTCAGCTGTGACTATGGCCTACCCACGGCTGGGAATCTGAAATTCATCCCATGCTGCTTCTCTAAGTTTGGGCTCTTGCTTTTGTCTTGGAGCCTTTGGGTAGCTGTTTTAGTATTTTTTTCAAATTTATAGTCCTCTGGGGGAGGGTCAGCCTGTTAGGAGCTGGCTCAGCTGTACTAGAAGTGGAACTGGCTGGTTAGTTTTTACTCCACGGGCTGGAATGCTCAGCTTAGCCTCTGTGGAAGTCTGGCAGGAGAGGGGAGACCAGTGGGTGGCTATGGGCCAGATCTGACATGATAAAAACATTGGCCACCTCTTTAAAGAGCCATTTCATTGAAAGAACACCATGGCATCCCAGCACAGGATGTAGGTAGGCATAGGTGAGAGTTGGTGGGAACTACAGATGACTCCATGATAGGCTGTGAGTGGGAAAAGAGACTTTCCCAGAGGACCGGGGATCAGTATGGTTTCAGACATGCCAGTGTGTCTCTGGGCTTCTGTGGGTCCTGACCTGTGTGAGAGATGAGGGGTGACAGGGAGGATGTGACAGGCTTGCTAATGACCTCTGAAGGAAACAAGCTCTATCTAGGTTTGTAAAGCACCCACATTTGAAGCACTAGGGGGATGTGGAGAAGCCACACAGGCAGCAGAGATGATAAATAACAGCCGCTCCATGCTGGCCTCATACGTGTTTATCCCATGAAATGTGTTCATTGCCCTCATGGAAGGAATCTGTTCTGGTCCCCACACCAGAGAAGCTAACAGCCTTCCCAGTGAGACCCCACAGGGTAGTGGCAGCGCCAGCACTCGAACCCTGCCCTGCTGTATGGCATGAGCTCTCAGCCACAGCTCTATCCTGTACCTCTTAGCAGAATGGGGAGGGCAGAGCTTCCCAGAAATGAGAGTGAGCGACAAGGTGAAAGATGTCACAGGCTCACCTCGTCACAATTCCACATCTTCAGGGTGGGAGGGCATGAGTGCCCAGACGGCAGAGAGGAGGAAGATACAGACAATAGCTGGAGGGTGGGAGGAAGGAGTTCCCAGGGGACCCAGGGCACTGAGGAGCAGGGAGCTCAGCAGAGCAGGGCTGCACATTCGGACATGCATGGGGCCGCCATGGCCAAACATGCTGTGCACATATGAACTGCTCAGAGGCCCACACACCCTGATGGCACTGGCTCACTCTGGGCAGGGCCTTCACAGCTCCAGAGCCGCCTCCATCGTCTGTCACATCTGAACCTCATTATAGCCTTTCAGCCATTTCAGGGTGGGGATTTGGAGGTTCAGAGAAGCTACAGGGCGTAACAGGAGGCAGAACAGTGTTGTTGAGGCCTCAGAGTCTGCAGGAAGGACACCTGCTCTCCCTGGGCTCCTGCTGAGGCAGAAGCCTATTCTTTTGGAGTGGGTGGGGAAAGTAGCTTCTTGTTCCCTTTCTTGCCTGTCTCTTGCTGTGTGCAAAGCAAGAGTTGGTGACAGTTTTCTGACTTTAGGGGAAGGGACCAAGCATGTGGGCATTGGCTCCTTTGGGTTCCCTTTTAGTTCTGCCTGCCCTGTGCCTTCCTGCCTGCTGTGGGACAGGACTCAGTGTGACCTTGTTCAGGGACGAAGAGTCAGCTTCTGGTCCCACTGCCTGACCCCGTATCTCTTGCTGATGGCTCTAGGCTGGGATGGAGGGAAGGAGAACTGGTCCCTTCCTCAGGTCACTCCCACCATAGACAGATTCCTCTGCCTTCCCCATGGCAGCTCAGTTCCAGCAGAGGAGTGGAAAGAGCTTATCCCAGCTCCAGGCCAAAAGCGGCTCTGGAGGGGTGGAGGGTCAGCCAGAAAAGGAGGGCAGGGTCTCAGTGGCTTCTCCACCTGCAGGTAAATGAGCAGCTGAAGCTCAAGGTGCTGGGGCAGGACTCCATTGTGGTCACCTTCACATCCTTGAATGAGACAGTGATGCTCACTGTGTCAGCTAGAAACTGTCCCCATGGGATGGCACACGAAAAGCGGGTAAGGCATGGCGACCGAAGCCCAGTGCTCCCACTCCTACCCCAGGTCTTTCCGCCTCTCCTTCCCTGCCCAGGCCCCTGTGCCCTCATTGCATAATTCACTGCCCAGGCTTGGTTCTGCCTCCCTGCACTCTTAGTGTCTGCAGGGGTCCTGCAGTGGGAGGCGGTAGAACCCCTTGTGGGCTGTCTCTCATACAGAGACCAGGTGAGCACCTGGACCGAAAGCCCGGAAAATGCAGCTTCAGCATGGCTCGCCAAGGCCCCCAAGGATCCCGCAGTCTCCCCAACTCAGTTCTCCTCTGGATTGGGTTTATTCTCAGAGCTTCTCCCCGATGGGGGCAAGATAACCGGAGCTGTGCATCCTAGTCTCTCCAGCAGGATGCCAGCGTCCTCCTCCCATGCACAGGGCCCTGGGCTCCATCTCGAGCCCCACACCGCAGAGAAGGAGGAGAACCAAGATGTTCACGTGGCCTCGGCTGAGGGACAAGACCCGCCCCAGGTAGCACCCAGGCCAGGATGAAGGAAAGCACTGTGCTGAGAGAGCCTCAGGCACAGAGCGGTGTGATGGGACAGGAAAGCCACCAGTGCGTCCCTCTACCCTCTTGCATGGCCAGGTTGGGTCCCCCCTCCCTCAGCCTCAGCTGCACAGCCTCCATTCAGCATTTCTTCATATGACTCAGTCTCCCCAGCAATTTGGGGGCTCCCTGGGTTCCTCCCAACACCTGCTACCCAGGCCGGCAAAGAACAGCTTTGGTGACAGGAGGAGGGACCAGTTCTGGGGCCTCCTGCACATGCACAGGTCACCAGGCTGCCTTTTAGCCTGTAGCCTTCTCAAGATCATCTCTAGATGACTTACAAACATCAGTGTAATGGAAATGCCATCTAAGTCACTCAGGGAGAAGGAAGAATAAAATATCTGTATACATCCAGTCCAGATGTGATTCTGCCAGGCCAGGGATTTGGGTCAGTGGCACTGTACCTGTGTTGCAAGCACAAGGTCCTCAGTTTGGTCCTCCATACCAGAAAAAAAAAAGAAAGAAAAGAAAAATTCTAAAACCAGATGTGATTCTGCCTGCATAAGTTCAATCCCAGAGCACAGCCCTGCAGGATGGAGCCTGACTGCTTTCTAGTGTTCCTGGGTGGAGAGACTGGGACTACGGTCCTTCACTGGGTCTCCACGGGTCTTCCCAGAGCTGGTATAAGTCACCATCATGGTTGGAGCTGGAGAAGGTGAAGAGGACACAGTCCCTATGGCTTGAGGGCCCCAGAGAAATGTCCCCAAGTTTGCTTAGCGGGATGTGCTCCAGGTAGCAGGAATAGGCACCACACCTCTAGTTAGCCCAGGGTTGCTCCCACATGTACAGTGCATGGCAGAATCATGAACAGCACCCTTCCCTCTCCAAAGGGACCTGGCCTGTTTGATAAACTAAGAGCTGAGCAGGAGGATCCAGCTCTGGAACATCTACCCAAGCCCGCCCAACTCTTTGGGAGCCTCTGGTCCAGCAGAGCCATGAGGACATTTGGCCACACCTGCACAGTGCTGCAGGGACACAGAAGTGTGCATCAGAACATCAGAGCAGATACAGGAGGAAACACTGTGTGCTCTGGGAGGAAAACCTTGCATCTGCTTTTCCCGGTGCTTTCTCTGGCGCACTTAACCTCCATCAGTTCATTCACCGATCCCAGAGATTCCTCTGAACCGTGGCAAGCCAGGGTGGCTGCCAGGGAGTTAGAGACGAAGCCGTGCTCTCTCCAGGCTCCGGATGCTCTCCCCACAAGCAGGGCCAAAAGCTTTCACAGCATAATCTAGTCTAACTAGTGAGGTGTGGCAGTCAGGAGGGCACACAGGGATTGCAGGGATGAGGAGAGAAAGTGTGCCAGAAGGGTGTCCCAGGACACCAGGACACACTGCTTCCCCAAAGGGACTGACTGTGGGCTGGGCTCGCTGGGTGTGCATAGAGCATAGGTTCTACCCCTCCAGGACCAGGAAGGAAGGAAGGAGAGGAGGAAGAAAGGGGAGAGAGAGAGCGTGCAGGTAGCTGCATTCATCCCAAGCACTGGCTCCATCTTCTTGCTCTAAAAGTCACTGTCAAGGACACACTCTGTGTGGTCTCATTTCTGCACAGCCCCAAAACCATTGGTGGGTGGAAAGGGAATTATTAGTTTCTTTTTTCTGTTCAGAGGTGGTTGACATCAGGAAACTCCATTCTCATCAAATTGCAGTCAGGCTCTGCTCTCCCGTAGTCTCCGTCTGGGGGCCTCTGAAGTGTAGAATGCAGCTGAGGACCAGAATGTGTGCATTAGAGACCCCTGAGCAGGGAGAAAAGTCACCCAAGTCTTTGCCACGCATGCCCTCCTGGCCAGGGAAGGCCCCCCCACCCCGCCTCTTAAGCCTGGTGTGCCTCTCCTTAGTGTGGCCTCAGCCAGCTAGAACCTAAGTCCCAAGCTGTGCTGTCACATTCAGGACTGCTGAGCTGCGGGACACGCAAGGTCTAGACTCAAGCATAGACATACTCTGAGAAGATGCGGCCACTCAAAGGCTCAGGGACAGAAGGGCATGGGATGCCCTCATCATGGCCTATTTTTATTTCATGCTGAAACTATCATACTTTTACATCCTGTGCTAAATAAACATGGATTAGGACTAATTCCAACTTTCCAAAACATTTCTCATGTGGCTGCTAACCATTTACAAGCAGTTCGTGTTATATTTTTATGCTACTGTGCTGGCGTCCAGCATGGGTATCTACCACAGGACGTTCATGAAGGCCTGGGGGCAGGAGGAGGCTGAGATGTTGTTAAAATGACACAATAACTCAGAAAGCAGAACCACCTTGGGCATGATTAACACAGGCATAAGCAGACCAGTAGGTTAACACAGCCTTGGCGAATAGCACCACATGAATGAAGGGGGCACCATGATCGCAGCCCCCTCTGGGTGAGACACAGGGTATGTGCTGTCCCATAGACCAGGACCTCCACCTAGAAGACCGTGTTAGTGTCTTATGGCAACAGCACTGCCGGATGCTGGTCCTGACTGCCAGAATCAGCATCCCGGGATATTTAAACACAAAACCCTGAGGCGCCAGCGATCAGTGCATCTTACATCTTGGAACCCTGAGCGTTGTCACCACCCCACCCCAGGAAGAGGGGGTCTAGGCCAGGCTCTTCCCTGGCCAGGCCTCAGTATCCCTGTCTGTATAGACATGCGGAAAGTCACTTTAACACACCTCAGTTCTGGGGCTTTTATAACCTTTTCAAGCCTGTCGTGTGTGTGCTGGTTTGGGGCTGGTTCCACAAAAATCTCTGGACACCTAGGACAGCTGGGGTAGAGCAGTTGCTTGCTCCCGCAGAGTCGCCATCACTAGGAAGCATGTTAAATGGTTTCCTCAGGGCCGTCTTCCCAGAAAAGCCACCCATCACAGGGACAGGCAGAGCGGCTGCCCAGTTTTTACAGCCGGGGGTGGAGGGGGGTGGCTCCCCACTGAGGTCATCCATCACAGCGGTGCCTCAATAGAAATGCTTTATTAGCCCAGAGCTGCTCAAATCCTTTTCAGAAGCAGGCTGGGTATAAATTACAGATGAATAAACGAAATTAGCCAGGAGCAGTGGCGGCGGCTGGCCATCAAAGGCGACAGGCTTTCCTGTTAGCCGGGTGTCCTTTATGAAGCCTCTGCAAGGGAGGAAGGACACGTAGCCGATGTTGGCCTTCCCAGAAAATCTGTCCTCTGCCCACCCAGCCTTGCTACTGAGGCCCAAATCCCATCCATCCTCTGCATCATGTGGGACTGCTAAAAGCACCATCCCACGCTTGAGGAGGCTTGGGCTCTTCCTGGGTGCCCTCCAGTGCCACCAGAGGGAGGCTGGCAGCACACACTCCCAGGAGCTTCGGAACTAGGACATTATTCTTAAATTTTTTGATGTATTTCTGAGTCAGAGTCATGCTATATGTCCCAGCCTGGCCTTGAGCTTGAGGTGATCCTGCTGCCTCAGCCTCTTGAGTGCTGAGATTACAGGCTGAGATCCAGCCACACCTGGCTGGAACAGAGACCATGCAGCCCTGTGGGGTGACTATTCTGCGACACTCAGCTGCTTGGAGGGTATACGGGGAAGGGGACAGCGCACACCCTGCAGCCAAAGCACGTCCTGCCCTGCAAGTGGTGACCCCTCACTGCCCACCTCGCCCCCAGGTGGCCCGCAGAATCAGCACTGATGAGAAGGTGTCCAAGATGAGCCGCACCCTGGCTGAGATCAAGAAGCGGTTCCAGAAGACGGTGTCTCAGTTCATGAACTCTGTGCTGCTGGCAGCAGGTGAGGCCCAGGGGTCAGAGACTCAGTGATGGCCACAGTGTCCCAGGTCTTCCTGCCCATCTGCACCTGGGTGCCCAGGTGTGCCCACCATGGATGGGGTCTTGGGCCCCGCTCTATAGGGACTAAGGGGTGAACCTGTCCAACTTCCATTTCTGAGCTCTCTCATGTCTCTATCTCCATGTGGCTGCCTTTCCATGTCCCTCTATGCCCCTCAGCCATATCTCTGTCACCTCTCAAATGTCATCTCCCATGTGGTCCAGCATCCATGTGCAGCAGCCCTGTTTTGTTCTCCCTCAGAGCACTGGCAAGGGCAGCCTCAGGACCCTTGCACATCTGTTGGGGCTCCCAGTTCTCCTCAGAGCTGATGGGATGGCGACAGAGGGATTCACTACCCCTTCTTTCCTGGCTGGGCCTACAGGGCTGTGCTGCCCCCTGGCCTTTCCAGGGAGCTTGTCCTTGTCCCCGTCTCCTCCACTGGTAGCCACCCTACCTTTCCCTAGCAGAAGGGGTCGCAAGGCCTCCAGCCCATGGCCGGCTGTACCTCTATGGTTACAAACCTCGAAAGCCAGCACAGGACCCATTTCCTTCCTGACAGAGCCCTGCCCTGGGCTGCCTCTGTGTGCCTAGCGCCTCACTCGATAGGAACAAGAGGACCGGCCACTGTCTCAGGAACTGTCTGGTGTGGGAGGGAACCAGGGAAGACAGAAATCAACACAGCACAGTGCGACAGAAAAAGAGGATGGCATTGGTCGCAGGGACAGGAACCAATGCTTGGGGGGAGCTAGGACTTACAGTGGAGCCAGTGCTTCTAACTCCGGGGCAGACAGCACACAGGGCGCTTGAAGGTAGGGAGTTGAGGCTGGGGCTGGGCAAGTGTGTTCCATGAGTGGTGCCCTCTGTTAGTCCAGTGGTCACAGAGCCATGCAGCAGGGCTGGTGAGGGCAGAGGGGCCCTACGGTGACAGGACGGGACAAGAGTCTTCTGTTCCAGGTCTCTTCACCATCGAGTATCCCACTGTGTGGGAGGAGGCCAAATTTGCCCAGGCCAGGCTGAGATCCGGTGCCACAGCCGAGCACACCCCAAAGCTGAGCTTGCATCCCGGGGAACCCCTTCCCCACTTCCAGTTGGGCCAGTCGGACTCTGTGATGGAGGACTCGGTGCCCGAGCAGGCTGTGTCTGCACCCACCAGCCCTGTCCGGAGGAAGACCCCCAGAGTGCAGGCCAGAGCCACGACTACCTCCAGGTTGGTCTCATCCTTCCCTTCCTCCTCAGTGCAGCCTCTATGGTGGGCAGCAGCGTGGAGAGGATAAGGACAGATGGCCCGAGTCCTGGGGTGGGGAAATAGGAGATGAACACATGAACAAAGGAGATGATTTTACATCACGATCAAGGGTGGGAAGAAAACACGTCAGAGTCATGTGTCAGCACAGGGGCCGGCAGTCAGGCCTCACTGCCTCTCCTTCCGTGGACAAGCTAAGAGTGGTTTTTACATTGTGAGCACTTGTGGGGGTGCCAAAGAATATCTTATGACACATGAAATAATAGGAAATGACCAGACTTGGTGGTGCATGCATGTAATTCCAGCACTCAGGAGGCTGAGGCAGGAGGATCACCATCAGTGTGAGGCCAGCCTGGGCCACAGGGTGAGATCCTGTCAAAGAAAAAAAAAAAAAAGAAAAGAAAAGAAATGATAAGCAATTCAACTGTCAGCATCCGTCTGAGAGCTTTGGAACATGGCAACTGCCATCATTTGCACCCCCACACATGCTTCCCAGGGCAGTTGCCGTGGCCATTGTTGAGCAGTGGGGACAGAGGCCACGTGGCCTCCAGGGCCCTCTCTGGGAAATGCTGGCTGACCCCCGGGACAGAGGACAGGCAGGGCATGGTTGTTGGCCACAGCCAGCAGAGGAGTCAGGGAGACTTAGCACACAGGGCAGAAGGGTGCAAAGCAGGTGGCCACACACTGGTGTGATAGGACACAGGGCTCCCACCTGGGCATGTACTTAAGACATGTGAGGTTGCAGCACGAGGAAGGTGTCCAGAGTAATGAGCGGCGATGCAGTGCCACGGGAATCCACTCCATAACTTGTTTGGTTTTGGCTTTTTGAGATAGGGTCTCCCTGTGCGGTCTAGGCTGGCTTTGTACTCGCTTTGTAGCCCAGGCTGGCCTAAAACTCAAGGCAACTCTCCTGCCTCAGCCTCCCAAGTGCTGGGATGACAGGCTTGTACCATCGTGTCTGACTGTTCCATAACTTAATAGAAGTGACCTCAGTTGATTACTTTACATTTAAAAAGCCTAAAATATATTCTTATACTTTAACTTTTTACAAGCATAAAATGCACACAGAAAAATGGACAAATCCTAGGTTACAGCTCTCTGAACATCACAAAGCAAACCCAGAACCACTGAGTTGCATCGGGGTGTCTCCAGTCCCTTGGGAGCCCCCTCTTCCACCCCTTACTCTCTCCACTTCCCCCTCCTCCCCAGACAGTCATCTCTAACCCACAGTGCCGGTGGTTTTCAGTGGACCTGTTGGCTCTGTCCACTTGACATGCGGCAGCCCCACTCGGCATGGTGACCAAGTCTTCCCTACCTCACACCATGTCCTTTCCGTAGCTGTGGTGCCGCTTCACCAGAAGTCACACTCTTATGAGCTGTTTGTGGTGTGGGTGATTGCAGCCTGTGCCGTGTTAACGCATGTCCCTTCCTGACCTGTGTGTGTGTGTGTGTGTAGGGTGTCACACGACCATCACAAGCCATGTCCAGCCTCTAGTACAGACCATGGGGTGTCAGACTGTGCCCCTCCAGCACCACTCTACACCCTCACCTGGATCTAATATCACCATCATCCAATGACCATTTGGTAGGGTGGACTGTTTTCTTAGTGGTCAAATGTGGCTTCATTTGCATTTTCCTGATGATTACAGAGGCCTAATGCTTTCTGCCTTGTCCGTTGACCATTTGGAACATTCTCTTTTGAAAAGTGCCTGTTCAGTTCTCTGGTCCATTTTTTTTTCTATTGGGCTCCTTATCTTTTTTTCAGCAGTTCTATAACACTATGGACAACATTTTCATCAGTTCATCAGTTATACATGTTAAAAAATAGTCCTCTCAATTTTACTCTGGTGATGGTGTCTACTGATGAACAGAAGTTACTAAATTCAGTATCCAAGTTGAAATATTTTTCTGTGTAATTGAGATTTTTTAAAATCCTGTTTAAGGACTTCCTCTAGTCAAACAGTGTTATGACATTCTCTAATGTCACTTCCAACTAGCCTCAGTAGTAATTTTCACTCTTACAGCCATCCTCCATTTAGAAACTATCTCTGCATATGAGATGAAATAGGAGCCCACTTTTAATTTTTCCGATATATATCTAATTGACCTATCATTAACTATTGAAAAGTTTGCAATTATCCTTCAACTCTTATAAACTAAGGGGTATCTATGTATAAATCAAAGATCATTTTCTAGACTGCCTATTTTGTTTCCTTTGGACCAATCTTTTACTGATATCAAACTGTCTTGATCACTTTATGATATACAGCAGAGTAAGTATTTCAATTTTGAGAATTTTAAATTGTTTTGTTATTAGCCTTTTAACTTTCCATGCAATTTTTAGAATCAGCCTGTAAACATTTAAAAATGTCCTGGGACTAGGGCCTGGTATTACCTCAGTGGCAGTGTACCTGCCTTGTAAGCACAAGGTCCTGAGTTCAAGCCCCAGGGCCAGGAAAAAAAAAGTGCTGGGATTTCATATGACTTGTTAATGTTATTGGAATAGGTTAACCCAAGAACATATTATATTTTGTCATTTATTTAGGTCTTCTTTACCCTCACTATAGCATTTTGTAGTTTTCACTTTTAAAAAAAAAAATCTGTATCTGCTGCAAAGAGTCACTAAGCATGTCTTTCATTCTGGTCACCAGCTCTGTAGTTATCTGAGAAACTATTTCTCATCTGATTTTTTTCCAGAGCCTCACTCATCTGCTTTATTTCCATTGTTACCCCTTCAGAGAGTCCAGGTGGGTGGGTTTTGAACTGTCCCATTTCACTCTTACTGCATTTGCCTTTGGTGAGCTGGAAGTTTTGGGTTGCGTCTTGCTTCTCAATTTCTATTTTTTTAGTTTAATTCCTGGGTTGATGCTTATAAATTGCTTATGGCAGGTAGCTTTATTGCTAGTATTTAGAACCCTTATGAAATGACTACTTCTCAGAGATGTCTTCCAGGGGTAGCTGGCTTGTGGGCTTGGAGGCTGTTGCAAGATCCTACTTCTTCAATTTCCTGGGGATGAGAAGTTGCTTCCTATTTGGCACTGCCCCTGGTCCTTTGGCACTGGGCTATAGTATTGTTTATGGCCCTTAGGTGATCTTAGTCTTTGCATACCAGGAAGAACAACTGACTAGAACAATTGTCACTTTGGCTATAGTACAATCAGCAATAATAATAGCATCAAGCACAGCCCAGAAAAGGACAAACTGTGGTAACTATTGATTTGCCACTTTTAACTGTATGAACTAGATCTGTGGTTATGTAACAAAGAAGTCTAAAACAAACCAGAAAATTCTGTACAGTAAATGTGCACTCCGTTTGGCGATTTTACCCTGAGGGGAGAAAATTCAAAAGGGGTTAGGGGGAAAATAGAGATAGAAGAAGAGGAAGAGATTAGAAAGAAGGCTGGAGAGCAAAGAAGATTACATAAACTTTGGGGAACTGGTAAAGAAGACAGAAGGGAAAGGGAGAAGGGAGAAATAAAAATAGGAACAACACAACAACACAAACTAGAAACAATGTTCACACTTTTATAAAAACAAGAACAATGAAGAAAAAAGAAAACAAAGCAAAATAAAAACAAGACAAAGGGGGGAAAAGTCCACTTCAAGGTGCATTTCTGCTGTCACTGGTAGACAAAGTGGGCACACAGAGTCCAGATCTGTGTTAACCCCGGCAAGCCAGCCATAGATTTACAGTGGGATAATGGATAATCCCAGCAATCCTGCACCTTTAGTACTGAAGCTTAGGCTGGTTTCTGGCTGTGAGGCTGGATCCCGATTTGTTGAGCCTGCAACACTCTGTCTGCCTCCTGCCAGCTTGAACTTGGCTCCCTACTGGCTTGAACTTGGTTCCTTAACCTTCTGCTGACTTGAACTCTGTTCTGCCTCACTCTGATGAAGCCAGGCTACAGCTGCTCTGAGTTCTGAGCTCAAGTGGCCCCTCTCCAAGAAGGCTACCAGTGTACCCTCTCTTGGGGGACATCTGAGCCCAAATATTCACCAGCCACTGCAGTCTGCTCCATTCACTGCTATATTCCACTGGTGTATTTCTCCATGGAAGCCCACTGAGGTCACCAGCAATCATCATGAATGTGCAGGTTTGAGCCACCACTCCCACACAGTGAGTCAGGGCTCAGAGAGAAAGTAGATGCCACTTGCAGCCTCCTCCTCATTCATTGAAGTCTTTCTCTTCACTCTCCCCGTGGACCTCCTTCTCTTCCTCACGTTGCTCTATTCTAGCATCTGGACACCAAATGCTGGAAAGGTATTGTTCACCACTCTGCCATCTCAAAATACCTTTGTTTCAAAGTCTTTTTAGCCAGTAAGTTGAATAACGTATTAGGTACAGGCACAGTGGTGCCTACTGAAATCCTAGTACTGGAGAAGCCTAAGGAAGAAGGATTGTATGTTGGAGCCCAGCCTGGACAATTTAGTGATTTGCAGAGACTCTGAGTCAAAACTTAGAAATAAAAAGAGCTGAAGATGCAACTCATTGTCAGTATTTTGTAGTTTTCAGCATTAGAGGTCTGGTATGTCTTTTGTTAGATTTTTTTTAGGGCACTTAATAGTTTTAGTGCTATAATAAATTGTGTTTTTATTTTAATTTTTGATTTTGTTACTGAATATAGAAAACTAATTGGTTTTACCTCAATTTAAATTTATTTTTAATTTGCTTGTAGTAAAATTTTCTTTTTGACATACAAGTCTAAGTTTAGACGAATGAATAAAGAGGTGTCACCGATGGCATGGCCAAGATCACAGCCCTCCTCCCTACCCAAGAAATAAATTCTCTTCCATAGCCATGCCATAACGCTCATTCCAGTCCCTGACAAGTGCTGCTCTGCCCTCGGTAGCTATAGATTTGCATTTTCTATGATGTCCCATCAATGGAATTATATGGAGCCTTTTCTTTTTTTGGCATCAGGGATTGCATTCAGGACTATATGCTTGAGACTCAGGTGGCAGGACCACTGGGCTAAATCCCTGGCCCTATACAGGACCTTTTGAATATGCTTCTTCACTCAGCACAGTGCATGCAGATCCATCCCCATGTGCACACTTCAGCCATCCTCTCCCATTTATTGCTGAGTAGAATTATGTTTGGGGGAATCCCAGTAACACCCCTCCCATCCAGAAATTCACTAGGATCCATGAGACTCAGCATGCCATTCTCGTGGATGAGGTTTATGACACAAAAGGACATGCAATGTGCAGGATCAGCAAGGGGAAAACACAGCTCAAGTATGGAGAAAACCACAGGTGAGCGGCACCAGCCATGTGGCTTTCTCCAGTGTGGTTGTTGTGGTAACTTCATGCACTATCTGTCCAGAAGCCTCCTAAACACTCACTCCAGGATGATCAGCAGAGGCTGATCACCTATGCACTCTCTTCCCAATAGCCACTGAGATTCCAGATGACTGGAAGGAAGGCAGGTTGTGTCACACAGCATGTTGCAGGTACAGTCTAGGTACATAGCAGGTTCTGGCCCAAGTGCCCAGTTCCCAGGCACCAGGTGTAGGCCAACTTGGTCAGCAAGTCCCTCTAAAAACAGCAGCCTCATCCTTCTAATGTTACCCTTTCTGCATGTTACACATGTGAATAGTCAGGATTTGCTTTATCCATTCAACCACTACACAGCATTTTGATTCTTCTCATTTTTTGGTGATTATAAAGAAAGCTACTATCAATATTCTTGAGCAGGTTTCCATCTGAATATAGGTTGTCATTTCACTAGGGCAAGTACTTACGTGACACATTGCCAGATCATATGGTAAAGGCCTGCACCACAGCTCCTGAAGTGGCTGTTCTGTCACACTTTCCTGCCACACATCTGAACACTCCAGTTGCTCCAGTACTTGGTTACAACCTGGTATTGCCAGTTTGCTGTTTTAGGCCTGATGACAGATAAGCAATGACGTCCCATTTTCTTATGAATTTGCATTTCCCTGATAGCTAGTGATTTGGAGTCTTTTCATGGCCTTATTTATACCACTCTCATGTATTTGTTTGTTTGTCTGTTTGTTTGTTTTTCTGGTGACATCTCCATCAGGTCTTGTGTGTGTTTTCTAATTGGGGTCTTTCCTCATCATGTTTCCACGTGTTATCCTGGATGTAAGCCCTCTTTCAGACCTGTAACTTGGAACATCTTCTCCCAGGCCCTGCTTTAACTTCTCATCCTCTGAAAAGTGTATTTTCAGGGTGCTGTTTACTTCCACAAAGATCAGTTTATAATGTTTTCCACCTTTTCTGGATTGTACTTTGGTGTCATGTTGGGAAAAAAAAACCCAATGCCTTCTCCTATGGAGAAGATTTTGCCACCAGGGGACATTTAACTTTGTTTGGAGACTTCAATATTATCTTTGGGATTTTACATTTGTACTTCTGAGGGTTATTGGGCTGTGATTTTCCTTTTCTTATATTGTTTTTTCTAGCTTAGAATAACATTAGAATAACTAAGGATTTTGGGGGAGAGGAGGCTGTCTTATTGAGAATGCCACATTGTGATGAGTTGGTGCTTGCCTATGGCTTTCAAGATTCTCTTTGTCTTCTGATGATTTTATTATAAGGTATACAATGCCATCTCTGAATTTATCTTACCTGGAGTTTGTTAAACTTCTGCAATAGTTAGATGCTTGTCTTTCATCAGATTCAGAGACTCTCTCAGGTAGTTGTTACTTCAGCTATGTCATGCTTTGTGGATTTTGCTTTACCCACCCACCCCGCCTTTTTTTTTTTTGTGCCAGGAATTGAACTCAGGACCTTACTCTTGTGAGGCAGATGGCGGCACCACTGAGCTAAATCCCCAGCCCTGCCTTACCCCTTTTTCTTATGCTCCTCAGCCAAGATTACCCCAAGTCCCCTCTGCCAAGTCCGGTGATTCTAACTCCACCTTCTACTGAATCAGTCATTTCAGTTATTGTACTTTTTAACTCTAGACTTTCTGGTTGCTCACTTTTTATATCTCTATTGATATTCCCTACTTAATGAGACATTTTCTCCTGGTTTCCTTTCATTTTTTTCCTTGATTTTCTTGGAGTACATCTGAGACTGTTAAAGTCTTTCCAGTGAGTTTAGTACCCAGTTTTCTTCGAGGGCAGCTCCTGTTAATCTTATTTCCCATGAATGGGTCAGACTTTCTTGTTTCATTGCATGCCTCATATTTTTTTCTTCAAAACTAAACATTAAAATATTATAGTAGCTTTGGAAGTCCGATTCTCTTTCTTTAGGGCTTGTGCTGCTTGTTGTAGTTTATAGTTTTTTAAAATGACTTTTCCGGGCAATTTTTCAAAGCTTAATTTTTTTTCTTTTGGGGACAGAACAGCCTCCTGTTATCCTCCTGTCTCAACTTCAGAGCACTGGGATTATAGTCATGTCCACCATGCCTATCTTGTAAAGACTATCTTTAAAGACTGTTCTATGTAGTATATAGTACTGGAGTCTGGCAGTTGATTTAGTGGGGAATTAGTGATCTGACAAGAGATTGCACAGAGCTAACACAGGGGAAACCACCTATGCCTGAAGTTTGGCTGCAGGGCCTCGTGTGCGGTGCATTGGGCCAGCTGAGAATAACTGTGTGCCAGCCTCTACCCAGAAGTCAGCCAGAGGCAGAAGCTCAGTGTTCGCACCTGGTATTTAGAACCCTCAGCACACAGGAGCTTGCCAGAGCTTTTGCCCATCCTCAGCCCCTTCCTCACCAGAATTTTGATCTGGTTGTAGCAGTCTATTTTCCTGGGCACCAAGAGGCTGTGTCTAGGATCTCTGCTTTCTGTGCTTCCAACAACTGTTTCCTGGGACTGCTGTACCCTGAGAAGGTTCAAAGGTGGGTAGAAGGAAGCTAAACCCAAAGTTGGCCCCTTGGGGGCCCCAGACAGGTCAGCCACACTGCCATTCCTTGAGGCAAGGATCCAAAAGCCTGATTGAGCTGTCATCCCATGGATGCCCAGGGCTTGAGGGAGGAAGCTGAAACACCACAGTGCTCTCTCACACAATCCAGCAGTTTTTCTCGAGCATTCCCATTTAAACCTTGCATTAGAGTCCCAGGACCAATAAAGAACAGCCGACGGACAGGTTAGGGAGCCAGCCCCAGACCCCTTAGGAGGCACCTAGGAATGAGGTGGCAGGGAGGGCAGGATGGTGGGTGGTGGGGTCCGTCTCTGCTTGGGGGTGGAGTGGACTGGGCACGGGTGAGATGAGGGAGAAAGGAGGATCCAAGAGGTGGGTGAGTGGGCAGCATGTTACCCCTTTATATCCAGGGAAACTGAGGCTGGAGAGATCAGGACCCACCCCCATAGCTGGTGCCCACTCAACTGCATTCTTCTTGCAGGGAGAAGGCCCCTGAGGCACGCAGCCCCTTGCGGTGGGTGGCTGCGCCCTCTGACTGCCCACTGGTACTGCGCAAGCTGATACGCAGGGAGGACCCACGCCCAGGCTGCAGGTGTGTGGTGAAGGTGCCACTGGTGTCCGATCTGGAGCTGGAGCGCTTCCTGTCGGCGCCCCGCAACCCTAGCCAGGTGCTGGTGTTTGGCATCCTCTCAAGCCAGACCCCAATGGGAACTGCACAGCTGCAGTGGCTGCTGGACATGCTCTATAGACGTGGGCAGCAGGGCCGTGCCTCGCCCTGCATCCAGGTTGGTAAGGGCCAGGGCAGGTGGGGCCCAGGGTGCTACATTGATGAGGGGGCTCCACTCTCGGGTCCCTGGGTCCCCAGGGCCTTTGCTTACCCTCCCCTGCTGTCTATAACACCTCCCCCATCTTCTCCCAATACCTCCTCCTGCCCTAGGATTTGTGTCACCACATCTGGCCCTTCGAACAAAGCTGAGCGCTGCTCTGCTCCTCCTGGGTGCATGCACAATTTGAGCTCTATGTGTATTGCCACTGAGAGCAGGGATCATGTTCAGCGCTCAGAAAATGTTTGGAGCAGGTGTCTGGGCACCCCAGGGGCATGTCCCCTAGATGCAGCCATCCTGCCACCTGCATGGGTCCCTTGAGACTGCTTGATGGCGACTGCCTGTGAACCTGTGCTGGGGACAGTGGCCAGGAGACTCAGTGTCTTAGACCCCGGGAGGTTCCCTTGTTTGTCCTTCCTCAGGTGTCCAATCAGACCCATCCAACAGCCACCGCCACCACCCTGCACGTGTCCTTAGCAGTGTCTTCCTGCACACTGAAAGGCCAGGGGATGAGACCCTCGGATGAGAAAGAAGGGCAGGACTGGAGGAGCCCCAGGGAGGGTGATGCCCCACCCCTCTGCGTTCAGGCTCTCCCAGCTCCCAGCTCAGGAATTCAAAGTGCCCCAGTTGGGGGTAAAGGAAAGCAAATGCCTCCCTGAGCACAAGAGGGGACCCCACCGTGCCCAGGAACAGGGACAGTGTCCCTGCAGTTGGCATCTGCTATCAGGCCAAGGATAGGTGTCCGGTGTCAGACAGCCACATGAGCGATGAGCGCCTGGAAACTTTAGGGACTCTAGAATCGGCGCCACCTGCGGGCCCCGCTGTCCCGCTGCCTGGCATTTGCCTTTCCCTGCAGACTCGATGAGTCTAGATGCTCTGTGAATTTCAAGGCCACTGCTCCAACCTCAGAGCTAAAGGATGATCCTCTGTCAGCTGCTTTGAAATAATGCACAATAGGGCTGGGGATTTAGCTCAGTGGTTCCACCGCCTGCCTTGCAAGTGCAAGGACGGAGTTCAATCCCCAGTACCAAAAAAAAGCACAATTTCCATATTGAGCCCGACACTTCCTACAGCACCAGCTACTTCTTCCTGTGCTGTGCTTTCCCCACAAATGCTACTTTAAAAAAAAAGTCAGTCTAACCTACCTGGTAAAAAAAAAAAAAATGTTTGGAGACCATTGCTGTTAGGATGTGTGACGTGCTGCAGCTGAACGTGTGCTGTCACAGGCCCAGGACTGGGGGGAGGTGCACGTCCACGGCAGGGCAGTGGCCTGTGCGCAGATGGACGGGAGCGGGGCTGCAAGAGGACCCAGTCACTGCAGGCAAAGTCAAGGGGTCTCAGGCTGCACCACTGGGGCACATGGATCCCCTCCCCTCCCACCTCCTCGCCTCTGTAGAGTCTCTCCTGACTCGGCCTCACCCCAGGATTAGTGCAGTCTGAAGGCTGCAGAGGCCCCACCTAGGCATGTGAGCAGGTGTCCGTGTGGTGACTTCCTGACACCACCCTTCCCTCGCAGGTCTTGAGACCTTTCCCCGCTTTGCCCTGCTGCAGGGTTCTGAGTGTGTGCCCTTGGGTGAGGTCTTCATATCACCCTTGGGTTGGGGGCTCAGCCAGCATCTCTGCTTAGCTGAGTGAGTGTTTCTCAAGAACCTGTGCTGTGGTTGACCATGTGTGTGACTTGGTGGGAGCCAAGTCATCACTCAGCTCATTCGATGACATCCCCAGAGAGCAGGGCAGGGCAGGGCGGGCAGGGCCTGGAGGGCTCAGGAGCAAGCCTGGGAAAATGCACAGGATGGGCACCTTCATGTTGTGGGATAGGAGTGTCACATCCCGAAGCCCCAGGGCCTGGCTCCTGGTAACTCTGGCAGTTATCTCACCGTGGCCTCTTTTGAACGTGGGTGCAGAGGGGGTACCAGGTGCATCTGGTAGCTTGGTGTCTTGCCTCTCTTGGCAGTGCCAGCACGACCCATACCGCCTGCTGCAGTATGACCTCGACAGTCCCCTGCAGTACCACCCACCCCTGCTGGTGACCAAGTTCTCTGTGGTGCCGGGGATGGTCCTGGTGAGTTGGGGGTGGGCACCATGGGTAGGAGGGGCAAGACCAGTTCGGCCCAGGTCCCCCAGCTCCCCACAGCCCCTCCTAGGACTCCCGAGGGAGCCAAAGTCTCTTCATCTGTTTCTAAATCCCTTCATGCTGAACTTGGAAAGTCACGATGTTCATGGCCATCCAAAGTCACGCACACATCCAGCAATTATGTTCCGGGCCCTGCCAGGTCCACATCACGCTGGCATTGTGCTTTCTAGCCTTGCAACCTTCCTATGACACACTGCAGATCCTGCCTTTTTAATAAAAACAACACAGGTGTTCCCCACATCCTATGGTGTCACACACCTGATTTTAGTTCCAGACAGGAGTCTGTCATTTTATCTCTATCCATGCTGCTTTAGCCGAACATTTAATGTTTTCTTCTTTTTTTCTTCCTTTCCTCTCTTCTCTTCCCCGTTTCCTCCTTCCATGACACACAATGCCGTGCTGAACACCCTTGTCCAGAAATCTCTGTGCCAGGTCTCCATAGTGGAGACCGACACACAGAAGGTGGGGTACTGTGAGTCCTGCGTCAGGGCCCTGCTCGTGACATGGGCTGAGCCCTGCCTGGTGGGTAAGAAGCAGAAGCCCAGACAGTGGGTGAGCAGGGACGGCCCAGGCTGGTTTGTGCAGCATGGCATTGGGGCAGCTTGGCCCAGGGAGGGGACACTGGGCCGTCGTGTTGCCCTCTGACCCGGGGATCTGGGCCAGCCTCAGCCATGCCTCCTGGGCAATGGGCACAGCAGAATCTCTTCCCCAGACATCACCAGCCTGCATCCCATGGGCCCAGGAGGCCCGGTACCCCGTCCTGGTGAGGCTTAGTGCTCCTGTATGGTTCTGAGCTGCACTGGCTCTCTCATTGCACTGTCTGTCTGTCTGTCTGCCAGCAGATGTTCGCTAGGGGGAAGCTGCTCTTCGGAGGCTGTGTTCTGAACGGGTACGGCTTGAGCAAGCAGAATCTGCTCAAACAGATCTTCCAAGCGAGGCAGGATTGCAAAATGGGCTACTTCCTACCAGACAACTACAAATTCAGGTTAGGACGGGAAGAGGGGAGCCCGAGGGGCCCCAGGAGAGGGCCATGAGGGACCAGAGAGGAGTGGTGGCCTCCCCCAAGAGGGCTCTGTTTATTTGGGACACAAGTTTGCAGCGGGCCCCATCTTGGGGACACGAGGGCTGGGAAGGTATTCACAGGGCTGGTTTCTACTGTGGATATCATGGAGCTGGGAGCTCGGGGAGAGGAGCCCCAGCTGCATGTCCTTCCGCCCACTGCTCCCTGATGCTGTGGTTCTCGGTTCCTGGGGCAGTTGGGTGCCTGCTGAGGAAGCGTGGCCCGGTCCCATCCTGGCCTTGAGCACCTCCCGGCCGGCTGCCCAGTCGCAGTCATCTCAACTCTAGAAGAGCCACATCCAGGATGAGCCAGAGCCACTTTAAGGAAGACCACAGATTCTAGGCACTCGGCCGGACAGTGCCCTGGGAAGTGGCTAGGCGAGGGGTCCAGACACGAGAGCCAGGGCCTGCCCCTTGCATTGTCTGGGTTGCCCTGCACTGACCCTGAATCCTCTGCTCAGCCCCAGGACACAGGGGTGATGCACCACGCTGTGTAGACAGGACAGCAAGCTGCCACACATGAGGAAGCTATCTGTACACAGCCCCTGATGGGCCCCACGGTACTGTGTCCCGTACCCCATTCCACACAGCCTTGCGATTTTCTGTCCTGGCCACTCTTGCCACAGGGAGCTGAGTTGGAGTCTATCAGGCTGCAGGACACCCTGAAGTGACCCCACATGTGGAGGACTGAAAGGGATCATGGGACTTGGCCTGATCAAACCCGGGCAGCACCATCCTCTTGCTGCCAAGTCCTGAGATGTTGCCAATCTTGTGTTCACGATTGGGTTATTACTGAATGAGTCCTGGTCCCTGCTTTGAAAGGACATGACAGCATCTTACAGCAGTTCTCAGTAACTTCAGAGAAGAATAGATCACACACCAGAGAGACACACACTCCAGCAGGGAATGGCTTTTCAAGAGGGAAAGGGCGGGTCCCTGAAACTTCACCCAGCAGCACCCAAATTCTGGGGGAGCCTCTGGGCAATGGCCTGAGGGTCCCAGGCAGGGAGAGGCCTCTCAGGAAACTCTAGGGGCTCCTGTATCAACCCAGAAAAAGCATAGTCACAGCCTGCAGGCAGGAGTGGGGGGCTGGTAACCTCCCTACAGGCTTGGACACCCTCCTGACATGGTGGCCAGGTCCCATGGGACAGGCAGAAGGGTCTTGCCTGCCGGGACATAGCTGTTGGATGAGCTGCTGGTTACTCGGGTCCATGAGACCTGCATCCCATGGCCCGTGAGCCCCTAGCCGTGGACACCTGGCAGGGCACCCCAGTGTCGTGGCTTGAACAGCAGCTACTCTCTCTTGGGTACTGGAAGCTAGAGCCCCTGCTATGCATCTCCCACCTCCCAGCCCTGATCATCCCTTGGCTGGTGGCACATGGGTCCAGGTGGCCCTGGGCATCGTGCTGTGATAGGACACAGTCATACAAGATGGGGCTGCTCCCTTCCGGGGTAACCTCATCTCCACTGAGGACATCTGGGGGACTCAGGTCCTCTGCTAGGGTGGTGAGGACTGGGAGTCTAACCTGAGAACAAACCCACATGGCCATGCTTGGTGACATCACACCCTCCACACCCTCCTCTGTCCCCCGAGACCCATGTGCATTTCCTGTGCACAGTGTGGCCAGCAAGTGGGCAGGCAACCAAGCGAGGACACATGTCCTGAACGAGCAGCAGGCCCTGTGCCCTGTCTCCTGAGCACCCAGGATGCAGCTGGACAGCACTGAGCAGGCCGGGCTCCCCTGGCACTCAGCACTTTCCTTTATCTCTCTGCAGTGTCCGAGCCCCCACCCTGATCCTGGAGGATTTTTACACTGACAAAGCAGAAGTATCCAGAGACCTGGAAGGCAGCTTCTCTTCAGTGTCCCTGGGGGTCGAGGAGGAGAAGGATAGCTCTCCCCAGGCTGAGAAGTAGGTCCCACCGTGGCATGGGGTGGCAGGACAGGCAGGGCTCAGGCAGGGTCCACAGAGGCCACTGTGGGGCTGTGGCCTTGGGCCAGCCCCGCCCCCGGGCATGGGTCAGTCCCTGGCATCCACTGTTCTATTGGCACAGTGTCCACAGTGTTCCAGGCTGCCCCTAGAGCTGCAAGGTGTTCTGCGTGGTAGAGCCGGAGGGGTAGCAGGAATCTGGCCACATTGAAGAAAGGGGCCACAAAGAAATGATGCCAGCTGATGCCCGCCACCCTGGTCTGCCAGCCCCAGTCCCCTGGAATAAATGAACTGCCTTCAGAGTACAGTTGAGGCCTGAGGGGCTGCGCGCCATGGTGCTGTTCTGGGTGAGTCCTTGGAAACTGTCCCCCCAGCCAGGACTCCTGGATGGCCATTTGTGGGAGGCCAGAGATTCTGTACCCCAGGAAATGTGGGCTGTATTCAAAAGCCAGTGGGACTGGACAATGTCCTCCCTCACAGGGAAGGATGGGGTCAGATTCCAGCCAAATGGAGACAGAAAGAGAGGGAAAAGGAGGGACAGAGAGGGAGAGAGAGACTTTGAATCTGGGTGTTTTGAGATTGGCTTTCACCCTCCGTCCATTCAGATTCACTTTCTGAATGACACCTGCGCCCAGCAGAACACTGGGAGTGGCCTGTTGTGTTCCTGCAGTCCATGCCTCTGCTGGGCCTGGAGTCTGTCAGGGACCAGACCATGGGACAGTGTCAGCCACCTTTCAGCAGGGCCCAGCCTGGGAGGTGTGGAGCTTCTACTGGCCCCACACTCGAGGTACACAGAGGGCTGCAGGGGAGTGGGGACCCCACGGGTCTACGATGCCCACAGGTGTCCTGGCCCCTCATCTACGGCCCCTGTGCAGGAGAGACGGGAAATGAGGACCAGGTTAAAGTCTGGCTGAGTCAGGAGAGCTGTACCCATCTCTTGTGAGAAAACTTCTTCGAGGTCTATTAGGGCTGGAATAATTCGCCCCCTCGGGTGTGTAGAGCTCTGACCTTAAACAGATAAACTGTTCCTCTCAAAAGCTTCTAAAGTCCTGACTCCATTCACTTCAGCCCCTAAAGCATACAATCCAAAAACTAACATGTGGCCAATAACAATGTGCCAAATATCCCGACTCCACCCTGGTTCCACCCCTGCCTTACCCTATCCAATAGCGATCCAGTAGTGCCAACCTGGCTCCGCCCCCACATTACCCTATATAAGCCTGTGCATTTGCTGAATAAAGCGGAAGTGTTCCAGAAACCTCCCTGGAGTCTGGGTGGTGATTCTCTGCCTTGCCCTCCCAGTCTGGGCTCCCTGAACCCTGTTCCGGGAGCAGCCTTGTGGACTAAAACAACAGGGGAGGGGAGAGGGGCAGAGTCCTGGGTCTTCCCTTCCACCCTGCTGTTTTCCTCCTCTGTGCACAAGGACTTGACACGTTCTCAGGCCCCTCCCTGGGACTAGGCTGAGGGCTTCCTGGAGGAGATAAATGGGTCTCTTGGGGCTCACTGGTGCTGGCTGGGCCCACAGGGAGCCAAATGGTTCTAAGGCCCCTTCCCAGGTCCTGCACATGCAAGGCCAAGTGGGTGGTCAGGTGCTCACGGCCTCCAGGAAGTGGGGCAACATCTCCCTGTGTCATCGAGGCAGGACAAGAAACAGCCACCAGCAAATGGGCTCATTGTCAAAGGCAATAAAAAGGAGCAGGCCACCAGGTGTCCCTTGCATGTGGAAAGGAGCAGGAAGGCCCTGCCAGCACAAGTTGGCAGGTAGGTCCCTGTGCAGAGGTTTGCAGGCCGCCTGGTAGAAGACAAGGAAGGCGCTCCGTCCCAGCAAGTCTGGATCCTGTGGCCTTCAGAAAAGGTCCACTACAAAGATGAACACCAGGCAGCAGCAACCTCACCCTCTTGTGCGTCGGAGTTCCTGGAAAGCAGGGAAACCTCAGAGCCAAAAGCCAAAAGCGCAGGGGGATGAGGGGTAAGCATGTGTGTGGTTGGCAAAGGTGGCACAGGGTTCTTTTCAGCAACTTGGGTGGGAAGCACCAGGTACTATGCAGGATAAAATGAGTATTGATCTTTAACCCACACTGTTCACAGAAGCTAATGTGAAATGGGCCACAGACATAAACCTAAATCCTAAAACTTCCAGAAGAAAACACTGGAAAAAAATTTTTTTTTCCAGTACCAGGGATTGAACTCAGGACCTTGTGCTTGTGAGGCACGTTTGCTGCCACTGAGCTAAATCCCCGGCCTGGAGAAAATATTAAGGCAGATAAAGATTTCCTTGGATAATAAAAAATAGTGAAAATAAAAGCAAAAAATATGGAGTGGACATTAAAACTTCTTCGAAAAACCCTTTAATCTGGGAGTAGTGGTGCATGCCTGTCATCCTAACACTTGGGAGGCTGAGGGAGGAGGATCACCGTGAGTTCAAGTCCAGCATGGGCTACATAGTGAATTAAGACCAGCTTGGACTATATAGCCAGACCCTGTGTCAAAAAAAAAAAAGTAAAAACATAAAAGTACACCATAAACTTGGGAAAAATACAAATGTCTAGATACAACTCAAGGAGAGAAGCAACTGGATTTTGTTTAAAGTGGTCTAAATATTTGAATAGATGTTTTGCAAAGAAAAAACTGCACATAACAATATGCCCAATCTTACCAGTCTTTAGAGAAGTGCAGATCTACACCATAAATGAGGTACTACTAGACACCTACTCGGATGGCTGAGATTTTTTTTTAACTGCAAATACCAAGTCTTAGTGAGTAAGATGATCAACTAGCACGCTCATGACATGAACACGGACCGATGCACAGACAGACAGATGTGTGCTCTGAGTGGGCAATGCATATTCAGGGTTTTAGGGAGAGAAGTGAGTGGAAGGGGGTAGCAAGACAAGAGGAGAGGCATTACTGCCCTCAGAAGGTCTGCATGTGTGCCCCCCCTGCAGTGACCTGCATGAGGCGACCCCACAAGAGAGACCGCAGAGGAGAGAACCACCTGAGAGGCCCTATGGGAGAGACCCCATAGGAGAGGCCCCACAGGAGAAGCCCCATGGGGGAGAGAGAGACCCCATGGGAAGGACCCACAGAAGGAACCCTACACGAGGGACCCCCAGAGACAACACGGGAGCCCTGTGAGGGAGGAGTACAATGACCTCCAACCTGCAAGGAGCTGGCTTTTGCAGAACAGCTGCTGTGCCCAGGCCTGGGTGACCGAGCGGCTAAGGATGGGCAGAGCAAGCCCTGCTGAGGTCCTGGGTGAGGAAAAGTCCCTCCTCACCCTGCCCTGTGTGCATTGTGCTCCCACACTCACCACCCATCTGAGGTGGGAAGCTGAGGCAGGAGAGTGTCTGGCCAGGCCTCACTGCCTTTTCCCTCCCTACCCCTCCCTCCTTCCTCCCTGTCAGGGCTCCTCCTCTCTGCCCTTAGGAGTGAGCCGTGGACGTGGTCTGGGTAGGGGTGAAACGGGGACCCAGGCCACGGCACAGTGATCCTCAGAAATGTCACTTGGAGTAAAAGATGCTGGTGATAGGACAATCCCACCTTGGCCAAAACCGGGGACTGGATAAGGGGTCATCATAGGCTGGGACAGGGACAGTTCAGATCTACTGTGAAACAACAGGGGTCTCTTTGGGGTGATGAAAATGTTCTGACATTGATAGGGGTGAAAGCTACACAACTCTGAAATACTACACTGTACTTTAAATGGGTAAGTTGTGTGGTATATTTTTTAAAAAAACTATGTGAGGGCCAGGGATTTAGCTCAGTAGCTAGCACCTCATCTGCCTCACAAGTCAAGGTCCTGAGTCACCATTTTACAGGAGTTCAACTGAGGCACAGAGAGATATTGTCCACGATCTCCGCAGTTAATGACAAGGCTGGGATGGAACGGGTGCAGTGGCTCTGGAGGCCACGTTTATGACCTCGTGTGCATCCCACGCCCCAAACAAATGCTAGGGTTCCTCTACAGCAGCTGGGGAGCCGCGACACAGCAGCCTCCTCCCTGGGATTCAGAGGGCAGCGCCACCCACCGGCACCAGGGCCTTACGCAGAGTCAATCAGGGATGACCGCCAGGGGTCAGGTAGACAGCTTCCATACAGTTGGAGGAACCGAGGCGCTGAGCTCTTTGGGCCTCCACCTCCCCACAGTGAGATGGCAGTGGGGATCAGTTGCTAATTCTTTCTTCCCCTTTCCAAGATTTAGTCATTCCGTATTTGGTGGGTTTGATTCTGTACTTCTGAATATTTCCCCTCAGGAAGTGAGACTTGTTGAAAAGAAAGAAAAGAAGCCAGATGTGGCAGTGGAAACCTGTAATCCCAACTCTCAGGAGCAGAGGCAGGAGCATCACAGGGAGTTCAAAGCCAGCCTGGGCTACACAGTGATACCTTGTCTCAAAACACCAAAAAGGAGAAATCGGGGGATGAGAGAGGGAGGAACAGAAAAGAAGGAAAAGAAACTGAGACATGTTTGCCTTGTTCTCTGTCTGTGAATGGCATGGGAACTGAGGTGACTCAGTGATGCCCCCTGCCGGCATGGGGCTGGGTCCCAGGGCCTAGGAAGGAAGGAGGAAGAGGATAGAGCTCCTCCTTGGCCAGCCCAGCTCTGAATACTTCCATGCCCACCACTGCTTTGCTTAACACTCAGGCAGGTGCCTCCCTCCCTTTCACCATTGGGATACCTGAGGCCAGGGACCAAAGCCAGAGACAAGTGGCCAGGTCAGCAAGGATCATGGACCAGACATTTTCAGGGAGGTGTGAGAGGGTCTGGAGAGGGAGGTGGGGCGTGACTGACCCTCCTGCCACTGATGAGGGACTATCCTTCTGGCTCTGCGGAACTCACCAGCCACAGGGAGCTTCTCAGGGAGGACTCTGCTGGGTCACTGTCACCAGGAGGACAACGGGAAGGCATCCACAGGTGGGACTTCGAGGACAGGATGGATGGGGCAACCAGCCTCAGTTTCTTCATCCTGAAAAGGAGGAGCCAATGGCCACTCCTCCCTACCCCTCAGGCTGCCCATGTGCAGGTCAGATGGGCAATCTTCCTGCCCCAGCCAGAGGAGGGACCCTACCCGTTACAGCTTTTACAGAGTGACTTGATGGTTTGTTTTGGCCTGACCACCAGGGGGCACGCTGAGGTGGGGACCCAAAGGAACAGCGCTACCCCCTGCACCTGCCTCGGTTCTGCGGCTGTGGCAGATGCGGTGCTCCCCGCCCTAGACCTCAGCAGCCACTGCCCTTTTCCGGGTCCCCGCCCCCTGCTGCATCACCAGCTCGCTTGGCTCCCTCACTGCTGTGCTCTTAGGGTTCTCAGGTCTTTGGGGGGCTCCACAGCTCATTTCTGGCTAGTGCTGCATGTTGCGCCTGAATGGACCGCAGTTTATCCACACCTTCACCGCAGAGCACACTTGGGGGGCTTCCAAAGTGGGACTATTGTGACAGAGCCACACAAGTCCTCCTTGGGTCATCCTGAAAGCACGCGGCTGGCCTTGGGGTGCTGTTGGCTCATTTTTGTAGGACCTGCCATGAACAAGAGCCTGGGGCCCACCCTGGCCTTGCTGTGGGGGTGCAGTTTTGTCCCTGGCTGTTTAATTGTTTAATTGGAGTGTTGGCTGGTGTTGAGTTTTAGGCATTTTTTGTGGATTTTGAAGCAGTCTCTTTGCTGCTGCGGCTGTCTCATGCTCCTGATGTTGCTCTTGCAAAGTGGAATGGCGTTCTGTGCAGAAGCGATCGGCCCTTCCCATCCTGGCCCGTGCGCAGGGCTGCATCACGCCCAGGCTGTCGTGATCCCCTCCTTGTGTCTTCCAGGCTCTCAGCTCTCTGTTTTGCTCCACCCCGCAACCCGTTTGGAGGTAGCTTCGTCCAGGTCCCAGGGACCAGTTGAGCTGCCACATCCTCCCTGTGTGCTTCCTCTGCTTGGTCTGAGGCTGATGCTCGGCCCTCTGCACAACCGTGGATCCTACTGGTACCGCCCGGCCCTCTGTCCACTTCCCACCAGCACACTAGG